GTGATGGTAATGCCAGTATGTCTCAAACCCAGAACTCACCGCTTCATACACAACAGCCCCACATAATGGGCTATCAAATCACATGAATCACCTTTTATGCAACTAGCACTTATTGATACTTGTGATCTTTTGTTGCCTATGCTGAATAGAATCTATATGACTCTCTTGTAATATAGTCTGTTGGAATGGATGCCCCGCTAGTGATTCACAACAGTATGTTGGTACTGTATTGCCTAGATATATTTTATGTATTATTATTATTATTATTATTAGTCCCTTGGGTTCCTAGTGGAACATAGGGATTCAGTAGCACGTCTCCAGCGCACTCTCTTCTTTGAGATCTTTTGAACCTGGTTCTACCACTGCACACAAGCTCTCATTTCCTCCTCGCACGATCTCCTCCATGTCACCCTCACCTCGAACGCCCAACTCGTCGCTTCTCATGAGGATTCCACTCGAGTGCCAGGCCTGACGCGTGATGTTCCCAGTCGGCCTTCTCAGTCCATGCCCAATCCATCTTCACTTCCTCCTGCATATTTGTCGGGTGACAGGTTCTTGGTTGGTTCGTTCCCAGAGCTCCTTGTTTCTTATTCTTTCTGGCAATCCATCTGATCTTCAGTAAGGAGCCAGTGTAGGCAGTTGTTGATGAATGTCTGTAGTTTGTTGGAAATCCCTTTCGTAACGCACCAAGTCTCTCAACCATACAGAAGCACTCACATGACTGGCATTGCTGTTGAAAATCCGGATGTTGTTCACGCTTAATGCTGAGTGGAGTGCAGAAGATCTCCACACCGGTTTCAGGATAATGAACACTGTCTTGCTTTTCCGATTCTGACTTTGACATCCTCATCTGTGTGCCGCCACCTGTAATTGAAACAGTGCTTCCTAGATGGGTGAAGGAGGTTACTTCGTTTAAGTTTCTCCCGTTGATGGTGACTGGAGTTTGTTGTTGGTGGTGGTGCTGTATCTTCATCACCTCTGTCTTCTCTATATTCACTTGAAGTCCCGTCTTCGCTGCCCTACCTCTTCTGCCAACTTGTTTGTTTTCGCCTGTAGATCTTCAAGTTTATGTGACATCAGGCACAAGGCATCGGGGAAATCCAAGTCTTCTAGGTTCTTTTCCGCAGTCCAGCCAGCGTATCCCCCTCTTCTCACAGCTCCCCACTGTTTGCTGCATGATCCGGTTGACCACTATCAGGAATATCATGGGGGATAGTAGGCAACCTTGATATTTTATGTACAATGGACAAAATACTTAGAGCCTCAAAACTTCAAGAATTTCTAACTTATTTTGTTTTACGTCATTCGGCGTGAATATATCTGCTTCTGTATCATTAATATCGATTAAACGTGCAAAATGAACAGCTAAGAACCTGATATAAAAAGTTTATCAGCTCATGTTACTCCATTTTGCAACAGTAAACAATAAGAAAATCACCAAATTAAAGTGAGTACTACTAAAATAGTAAAGTCAAATGAGAGGTAGAGTTAACAGAACTTCAAAGGTGGTAATAATACAAAAATATTCTTTAGTACGCTTAATTTAGAGCTATAGTATTAAATGTTTTTAACTTCAAGGTTCTAACACTTGTTGGTTATGGACTGAATAAAAACCATCACCTTACTTTTAACTGCTACAGCTTCTAGCCATGCAGCCAGGTATGCTAATCTGAATAATAAACCTAACTCCTCAAAAATGGTTTCGCCCAAACCATGGATATCTTAAGAAGACAAGTGCGAAACAAGACCACTGCATCTTAAGGAAGACTTCATTAATAGCTAGTCTATAATGTCTTGTACAACTACAAAATGATCTATATGGTGTATGTATCCAACTTCACCACTTCTTTGGCATTGATTAGATTCTAGAATTAAGCAGTATTATTGTATTCTTATATGATCAATATGTTGGATACACTTAGAGTTATTCTTAAGCTATTCAAAAGATCAAGTATTTTGCTATGGTCTTAACTTTAAATAATTCAAAATCCTACCTCAGATAAAAACAACTCGCGGTTCAATAAGTAACCAAATAATCAAACAAAAGTCTTTTGGCTTTTAAAGACAGATTAGATGAAGTATACTTCTAAAGAGATGAGATTTATTCACATAGAATATTACATAGTTCATCATATGTTGATTCATCAAAATGAAGTTAGTAATATGAACAGAATAACTCTTAAATTAAACAGACATGAATCTATTGCAGGTTTAGTGTATATTAGCAGTACTCTGTTCTAACAGAAATGGTGATAGACCACAGTTCAAGTTCAACACACAGAACAGAACAGAAACTGAAGGACGAAACTACAACGGACATCTTCACGGCAGTCGGCCATCAAGACAAAATGGGAGATGTCGAGGAACATCCCTGAAGAAAACTCTGTGGAAGAACTCTGGAAGTCTTTGAAAGAGATGTGGAAAGAAACCTGCACAGCAGTATTAGGAAGGAAGAAGAAAGAAGATAAAGAATGGATCTCAATGGATACATGGAAGCTGATAGAGCAAGGAGAGGAGGATGGTGAAGCAGAAGATAAACCAGTGCAAGGGTGCTCAACGACAAGAGGAACTGAGCACAATGTATAAAACACCGAACAAAGAAGTGAAGAAGAGTGCACGGAAAGACAAAAGACGCTTCTACGACACACAGGAAAGTGAAACAGAACATGCTGCAGGTAGGAGAGACCTGAGAACATTCTATCAAATAACCAGGTTGCTATCTGGGAGGAGATCAACGTAGATGGAACCAATAAAAGATGATGATGGATTTTTAATTGCAAAAGAAGAGAAACAAAGCAAAAAACAATGGGTTGGCCAACCACTTCAAAAACCTCATGAATAGACCACCACCAACTACAACTCATTAGGAAATATCAACTGCAGACACGCAACTATAAGTGAATACAAATCCTCATACAAAACTCGAAGTCGTGAAAGGTACCTGCCTATCGATTGGAAAAAAAGCTGGCTACGTTGTCGAACTCCCGAAGAAGGGTGACCTCAGTGTTTGCAAGAACTGCTGCGAAATCACTCTCCTGTCCACCCAAGGCAAGAGAGAATAAAGGATACGCTGGATTCAGAACTACAACCCGAACAGACTGGCTGGATTCACGAAGTACAAATCATGTGCGCATCAGATTGCAATACTACACTACGCATCATCATAGAACAGAACATAGAATGACACTCAACACTCGATCTTACCTCAACTTCATCGACTTCGAAAAAGCCTTCGACAACGTCGACCAACAAGTAATTTAGCAGGTGCTGCTTCAACACTACACAATATCATAAACCTACATCAATCTCATTCAACAACCATGTGAGAATGCCACATGCTGGGGAATTCACAATGGAAAGCTCAGTGATGCCCTCGAAGTGAAGTGAAGTGGAGTGAAGACAGGAGACAGGAGTGAAACAGGGTTGCCTACTATCAACCATGATATTCCTGTTTGTGGTCAACTGCACTGGATCATGCAACAAACAGTGGGGAGCTGTGAGAAGAAGGGGATACGCTGGACCGGGGAAAACAATCTAGATGATTTTGACTTCGCCGATGATGATTCATGTCTAATGTCCTTTAGCACAAACTCGAAGATCTACAGGCAAAAACTAACAAGTTGAGAGAAGAGGGAATGCAGGGCAGTGAAGACGGGACACTATTCGAGTGAATGTGGAGAGGACAGAGGTGATGATGATAACCAACAAATGCAAACACCACCACCACCAACAACAACAATAACAAACTCCAATCACCATCAATGTGAGGAACTGAAGGGATGTAACTTCCTTCACCTATCTAGGCAGCATATCATAGTTTCAACTACAGGTGGCGTCACAGACACAGATGAGGATGTCAAAGCAGTCAGGATTGGAAAGACACCAAGATAGACATTCATTAATCTGAAATAATCAGAGTGGAGATGTATTGCACTCCACTCAGCATAAAACGTGAACAACATCCGGATTTTCAACACCAACGTGAAATTAGAGCTTCTATATATATGGCTCAGAGATTTGGTGCGTCATGAAAGGCATTTCGAACAAACTACAGATATCCATCAGTAATTGCTTACACTTGCTCGTTACTGACACTGAAGCTCAGATGACCAGAATAATGAGAATAAGCAACAAGGAACTGTGACTGGCTGGCTGGCTGGCTGGCTGACTGACTGACTGACAGCAACCAACCAAGCAAGAACATATGGTTCAACAAATGTGCAGCAGAAGGAAGTTGAGATGTATTTGGACGTTGGGCATACACTGAGAAGTCGGAATGTGGACATCACGCACCAGGCCATGCGCTCGAGTGGAATCCATATGGGAAGTGTCGAGTTGTGCGTGTGAGGTGAGTATGACATGGCGGAGATGGTGTGGGGAATAAATGAGAGCTTGTGGGCTGTCGTGGCGCCAGGTTCAAAAGTTTGCAAAGAACAGAGTGCTATGGAGACGTACTACTGAAGCCGTATGTTCCATTGGGAACCCAAAGGACAAATAATAATATTAATGTGCTGACATAAAAATAACTACATGTTATTCGAAGAATGTACTGCAATAAGTCGGATATATATATATATATATATATATATATATATATATATATATATATATATATATAACTCACTAATTACTTATTTGTGAGGTAGGCACTTTAACCTGTTGTACGCAGTGAATTCAAGCTCTAAATTTATTCAATAAATTATTATTGGCTGTTTGCTGATTAAAGAAATTCAGAGAATATATCTATTCATTAAAAAGGCTTCCCAAGTTACAGATAAAACATTGAATACTATAAGGTTAACTATATAGTCCTAATCCACTATTTTATTTCATTATGAATACAAATTTTAGATAGTTATCAGCACCGTCATCAACATAATAGTGACATCACTTTTTTGACAAAAAAATGGATAAAGACCTGGAAACAAACCACGTAAACATTTATATCCTATGAAATATACACTGAGTATTACTTGAAATGCTTTAAATCATTCTCTTACCGGATTCAGACATCTTTTCTTCAAAGCAGGAGTACAGCCACTAACCGATATATCATCAACCTCATGAACCTAAAAAATTTAAGAAAATTACAAAACACTGATTACTTTCTTGATACTACAGAAACTCCTAATCACTTGACAAATAACTATGTAAACTTCACACGTTATACTCAAGAAAATGTATGAATATTTACGATCCATATGATCACTTTAAATACAGTGTTTCGAAGTTCATATCTCTTCATCCCTTGTACATCACTAGTGAAATAGGCAAAGAAGTGTTACGCTTCATTATTTTTTTATTTATTGATGCTAAAGTTTCATTCAATGAGTAAGTATTTCTTTCAAATGCTTAAATATGATGTCTCAATACAAACGAGAAAACGTATGTAGTAGTACACTTTCATACTTTCAGTTGAAGTGGTTTGCTGCGAACTAAATAAATCTCATAATCTGTAGACTTTATGTTCAAATTCAATTTTAAATTTTGTCAAATAGAACAATGAACCCATAGTTATAACTCATAATAAACTGATGTAAAAAATTGAATCTCATCTTTAGATACCTAAGTGAAGTCAGTTGTAGCTCTTTGTGTAGTGTTAACTCACATAAACACTTCCTTTAAATACTAAACAAGTGCAAAGTGATATTTTTTAGAGACGGAAGTTTGCAGTTAATTTCTTCTGTTTAGCCTACTGATCAAAGACGTGGCTTGCCAGTGATAATATTTCATATTAACTATTTAAAATTTGTGATAGAATAGGTTTACTTGCAGCGATAAAAACCAATCAAATGAATATATGCCTTATATTTTCCTAGTTCATAAGTTCATAAGCGTATTATCACGGGATTTTTAATCGAAGCCTCTCATAATTTCCTAAGTCACTAAGTAACAGAATGTATACAAGTTAAAATATCTCTTCTGTGCTCAAAACTATCTGAAATGTTAATGTAACTCAAGTGTGCAAATAAATTATTGTCTAACGGACTAGAAGACTCCATATTTATTGAGTAAACATGTCGGAAAATCATTCAAAGAATACTTGATTAATTAAAAAGTATATGGCCGTCACAGATCATGCATTCTAATTTCAGTTTCAATTAGACTGTTGATAAGCACAAAAATTGCAAAAGTCTTTACGGATTGAAAAATAGTTTTCCAGAAATTCCTCAACACTATATCATAATCACCTTGAATTTCATAGTAGAATATAAGCTTGCAAACAAACATTAAGTTGAAATTTTCATTCAGGTTAAGAGTATATCAACTGGTTTTAATTTATGATATTAATGTAACCTTTCAGGAAACGATAGACTGAAAACTTCAAAAAGCTCTTGAATGGACAATCACCACCAACTACAACTCGTACAAAAATATCACCTGCAGACACACAACTACAAGTGAACATAAATCCTCCAACAAAACTCGAAGTCCTGAACGCCATAAACCTAATGAAGTGTGGGGAAGCAGCAGGACAAAATGGAATTCCACCAGAAGCACTGAGAACAGACACAGACACAACAGCCGACATGCTGACACCACTATTGCAGAAAATCTGTAAGGAAGGAAAGGTACCAACTTATTGATTGGAAGAAGGGCTGGCTACCTTGTCGAACTCCCGAAAACGGGTGACCTCAGTGTTTGCAAGAACTGCTGCGGAATCACTCTCCTGTCCACCCAAAGCAAGCAAAATATTATGCCGCATCATCCTGAAGAGACTAAAGGATACTCTGGATTCAGAACTACAACCCGAACAGGCTGGATGGATGGATTCACGAAGTACAAATCATGTGCACATCAAATTACAATACTACACTACGCATCGTGATAGAACAGAACATAGAATGACACTCAACACTCGATCTTACCTCAACTTCATCGACATCGAAAAGGCCTTCCACAACGTCGACCAACAAGTAATTTGCAGGCAACTGCTTCAACACTACGGAATACCACAAACCTGCATCAATCTCATTCAACAACCATGTGAGGATGCCACATGCTGAGGAATTCACAATGGGAAGCTCAGTGATGCCCTCGAAGTGAAGTGAAGTGGAGTGAAGACAGGAGACAGGAGTGAAACAGGGTTGCCTACTATCAACCATGATATTCCTGTTTGTGGTCAACTGCACTGGATCATGCAACAAACAGTGGGGAGCTGTGAGAAGAAGGGGATACGCTGGACCGGGGAAAACAATCTAGATGATTTTGACTTCGCCGATGATGATTCATGTCTAATGTCCTTTAGCACAAACTCGAAGATCTACAGGCAAAAACTAACAAGTTGAGAGAAGAGGGAATGCAGGGCAGTGAAGACGGGACACTATTCGAGTGAATGTGGAGAGGACAGAGGTGATGATGATAACCAACAAATGCAAACACCACCACCACCAACAACAACAATAACAAACTCCAATCACCATCAATGTGAGGAACTGAAGGGATGTAACTTCCTTCACCTATCTAGGCAGCATATCATAGTTCCCACTACAGGTGGCGGCACAGGCACAGATGAGGATGTCAAAGCAGTCAGGATTGGAAAGACATCAAGATAGGCGTTCATTAATCTGAAATAATCAGCGTGGAGGTGTATTACACTCCACTCAACATAAAGCGTGAACAACATCCGGATTTTCAACACCAATGTGAAATTAGAGCTTCTATATATATGGCTGAGAGACTTGGCGCGTCATGAAAGTCATTTCCAACAAACTACAGATATCCATCAGCAATTGCCTACACTTGCTCGTTACTGACACTGAAGCTCAGATGACCAGAATGATCAGGATAAGGAACAAGGAACTGTGACTGGCTGGCTGACTGACTGACTGACTAACTGACTGACTGACTGACTGACTGACTGACTGACTGACTGACTGACTGACAGCGAATCAACGAAGCAAGAACATATGGTTCAACAAATGTGCAGCAGAAGAAAGTTGAGATGTATTTGGACTTTGGGCATACACTGAGAAGTCGGAATGTGGACATAACGCACTAGGGCATGCCCTCGAGTGGAATCCATATGGGAAGTGTCGAGTTGTGCGTGTGAGGTGAGTTTGACGTGGAGGAGATGGTGTGGGGGAATAAATGGGAGCTTGTGGGCTGTCGTGGCGCCAGGTTCAAAGGTTTAAATATAACAGATCGCGCTGAATACCTGCTGCTGAAGCCACTGAAACAGAAGATGATATGATGAGTGATGGCTGAAGGTTATCTCAAATAGTCTCATTGATAATATATATGACCCTTCACTTTTCTATTTGAACTTAATTTGGATTGGGACGAGAGGATTCGACTGGATCGAAAGTATAATTATGACTATTGCATAGCCACGTAGATCACTTAATTCAAATCATGTTGTGATCCAATTTTTACTTTGTTTTCAAGCATCATCAACTATCAATAACATCAGTCTCACAAACCACTGCCATCTCAGATAGTCTCAGTGATAAACAAAAGAATTATAGACACCACATTACAAGATAATGACTAGGTTTTATAATTATTAAAACATCTTGTGATCTTATTTTCAAAGTAAAATAGATCCACTTAATTTTAATAAGTGAAAACCAGTGGGCTTTCTTACCTCTACTTCATCATTACTTTAAGTAGATTTTTCACTACAATGAATAAATATCCTGAACAATTTACTTAGTTTATCTCTAAACCGATGCGCTAACCTTAAAATCAAACAGGTTTTAGGGAAATTTACTGATGTTAAGGTGATAAAGAGCTTAATGCGACGTATGATGGCTCTGAGTTCCATTCCTAACAAAGTTTTAAGTGTGCTCTGTTAGGAACTTCCATTTTAGGATGAAACAACTGTCAAGTCCTCTCATTTAGATATGGTCTCCAAATTCATGTCAGTGCATGATAAACACCACCTTATTATGTGCACCTCAACACTTATACTATCGCGTCATCTGTTTCCGACAGAAGTTTTCAAACATAGTTGAATAGAAAAAGGATCTCGTTTAAGACTTTCATATCAGATTTCTAACTTCCTTTCTCAGTTATAACCTTCGCTAGGTTTATTCATAAAAGAGTATATCTCAGAAACTAAAAAGTTGTTGCATTCCTTAAACATAATGCTTTGGTATTTTAAGTGGATACGTGGATGTTCAATGATCACTAGTTTTGTCATCAAAGATGTTATCTTGCCATTCCACTGCGCATTAAAAACCTTTTAGGTAGATATTATGATTTGCTTAGTTTAGAAAACAGTCTAAGCGTCGCTAATTTAATTCCAAGTAAGTTTATTAGAATTCTGATTGAAATACTCTCACCGCCTTAACAGTTTTATATAAAAGCTGCCAGTGTTATTTACTTAGGTTTGTTGAAACGTTAGCTATACACGAATGTAAGCGTCCGTTCTGTGTTCAAGCATACCTTATCCTTACCATAAACCTACCCTGGTAATGTTTATCCTATCGTATCACCAAGATTGTCTTTAAATCTTGTCATTCTCCGTTCATTATCTTCCCTATTATTAAATTCCTTCATATCACACTTATCTTCCCCCACTTTCAGTTTTCGTATCAAGTTCTTGAACAAATAAATGTATGATAAGACTGTTTGAAATTTATAGCTAAAATATACCCCACACTTTTAGATAATCTACGTCTTCTAATTATGTTATCCAAATACATAAAAGGGACCACCTGTTTCAAATAGAATCTATGCTCACTGCACAAACAGTGACTATCATGACTCACTGGCCCAGTTGATAAATCTTTGGTGTATAATACCATCAGTTCCTGGATGAAGTCTTAGTGGGGATGGTATAACTCACCAAGAGGCAGGTACATTCCGCTAATCAATCCCAAACTAGACGGGACCTACTTCTTGAATTCTACCGCTAACCTTTATCCATCATTACTATCTAACTTTAGTTGTGCTTATACACATATATTGTTTGGGTTTTTTTAGATTTACATACAACCAACTCATTAAGCCAAGCCTACAACTAGTATCACATAGATTGTAAGGGACTCTTTATTCATTTTCCGAGTGCTGTTTAAGTCAATATTTTCAATTCAAAGTTATATTCAGACTATGGAATGCAAACATCCATAAAATTCTCACTAAACTATGCATTTTCTGTAAATTACTCTTTACCTGTCTTTCGGTTTCAGTTGTATATAAGTTAACCACTTGATAATCACCATCAAAACTGATATTCTGTCTCAGAATAATTAATGAACTAAACATTTTACTAGCCATAACAAAATAATGAATAAAGTCTGAGTTAGTATAGCAAGTTTTTCATAAGTAAAAAATGTAAATTACTTATGAAGTATGAATGAACTTTATTGAAGAGTGAGAAATTGATGAACAATACTATAAAGTACAGAAAAATTATTGAGATCATATACGTCGAATTCTTCAGTAGCTCACGATAAAAAAAACTTCAAGAAATATTCATAAAAGACGTGATATGTAGACAAAGTGGAAATGAATGAATATACTCTCTCTCTCATAACAGTTTCTTTGGAAAAAATATCTTTTAACGTAAGATTCACTCTTCAGTACACATTCAAGGCATAAGTAGAGTCTGAGTCCATTTTTCTAAAATTTCTAGTGTTATGTTTAGCCTACATAAAATAGCAGAAGATGGTTCTTTGCTTATGATGATTCTTATGCTGACTAAATGATAGCAAATGAATAAGTCACTATTGAATTTAACCATCTACTTTCAGTCAATTGTGACACACTAAGTAAGGGGTGAATTGGTAGCTTGCAGTTTAATGACTTGACTCCCCCAAAATGACTGTAATGACAGATGGATGTGTAGATCATCCTAATGGAAACAGAAAGCAACTAGTGAAACTTTGCAGAAGTCTGGATCTCAGTGCAGCCTGAAAACTTTTCCTGGCCCTCACAAATCCTGCTGGTTTCCGAAACAATTTCACACCTAACTTGCTATATTAGGAAGCTGAGAGTATCTGATATTACTCAGCCTCTCCTTTTGTGTTTTTTAAACTCTTACATCTTACCTGTTCTTCTCTTTTGTCCCCTTTATTTTTACCGGGCTGCTGAAAAAGACTATGCTACGCTGCGTAGAACTCTGAAGATTTTCAGCAGAACCAGTGGTGTATCCCTAGACTTTATGGTTAAAACAGTTATGGACAAACATGTTAACTCATGCAAACATCTGGCAGGAGTTATTTTATCAGATGACTAGCATCCTCTTTATTCAAGGCTCTCTGTGTATCGGCCATCTGAAAAAACGAGAAGCAAGTACATAAGACTCTATTTATGTAATACAAAATATAAAAACTATACGATACCGCAGGTATTTAGCTCGTCTGCTATGCGATGAATTAACTAATCAACTTCTGTTCTTGAAAGCAAACTAACTGATGATGAACATGTTACTATTTACATTTTATGAATTTAATTGCTAATGTGACTGTTTACCTAAATTAACTACACATTTTCAAGAAAGTTGTAGAAACAGTGAATATACTTATCTTTTTTGCATCAATAAGTTAGTTATTTCATTTTGCTATGTATACATATATACTATCTCTGTGCAATGGATACCATATGATATGCTGAAAGTTCTATAGAGTATTCTAGAAATAGTTTTCAGAACAAAGCTGTCATTATTATTATTACTATTATATAATTAAAAAGTGAAGTTTAAAAAATGAGCAATAATGATTGGTAGGTTACTCTGTAGTACATACATGTTATTATCAATTTTCTAATTAAATTCGGCATAATGCCCTAATATTTTCGAAGTAAATAGCATTGTATCTTAGTCCAAGAATGAATACCAATATGAATGTAGGTGAATAGCCAGTAAGTCCCAAATAGCTGGAATTCTACTGCATATCACTATTAAACATATTATCCCCATGTCAGTATGATGTAATTCTTTCTTCATCACTAGTTCACAAAGCTTTAGATAGGTACATACTAAAGAAGTAGAACTTCGAAATGTAAACGACGATACTACATTGAGTTATTTGAAAACGGGTTCACATCTAAACTTTATCTTCTGGTGTATTTAATAGATACATCCATCAGCTCACCTTCGATTCATTAACTGTTGTTAGACACCTCACTATTTAGAAGAATAAGTTGTTTCACGGTAAATATGACAACTCAGAGTACAAAACGGCAGTCAACTCTCTACCTTAACTTCATCGACTTTGAAAAGGCCTTCCACAACGTCGACCAACAAGTAATTTGCAGGCAACTGCTTCAACACTACGGAATACCACAAACCTGCATCAATCTCATTCAACAACCATGTGAGGATGCCACATGCTGAGGAATTCACAATGGGAAGCTCAGTGATGCCCTCGAAGTGAAGTGAAGTGGAGTGAAGACAGGAGACAGGAGTGAAACAGGGTTGCCTACTATCAACCATGATATTCCTGTTTGTGGTCAACTGCACTGGATCATGCAACAAACAGTGAGGAGCTGTGAGAAGAAGGGGATACACTGGACCGGGGAAAACAATCTAGATTATTTGCACTTCTCCGGTGACTCGTGTCTAATATCCAGTAGCACAAACTCGAAGATCTACAGGCAAAAACTAACAAGTTGAGAGAAGAGGGAATGCAGGGCAGTGAAGACGGGACACTATTCGAGTGAATGTGGAGAAGACAGAGGTGATGATGATAACCAACAAATGCAAACACCACCACCACCACCATCAACAACAACAACAATAACAAACTCCAATCACCATAAATGTGAGAAACTGAGGGGATGTAGCTTTTCTCACCTATCTAGGCAGCATATCATAGTTTCAACTACAGGTAGCGTCACAGACACAGGTGAAGATGTCAAAGCCAGTCAGGATTGGAAAGACATCAAGATAGACATTCATTAATCTGAAATAATCAGAGTGGAGATGTATTGCACTCCACTCAGCATAAAACGTGAACAACATCCGGATTTTCAACACCAACGTGAAATTAGAGCTTCTATATATATGGCTGAGAGACTTGGCGCGTCATGAAAGTCATTTCGAACAAACTACAGATATCCATCAGCAACTGCCTACACTTGCTCGTTACTGACACTGAAGCTCAGATGACCAGAATGATCATTATAAGGAACAAGGAACTGTGACTGGCTGGCTGGCTGGCTGGCTGGCTGGCTGACTGACAGCGAATCAACGAAGCAAGAACATATGGTTCAACAAATATGCAGCAGAAGGAAGTTGAGATGTATTTGGACGTTGGGCATACACTGAGAAGTCGGAATGTGGACATCACGCACCAGGCCATGCACTCGAGTGGAATCCATATGGGAGGTGTCGAGTTGTGCGTGTGAGGTGAGTATGACATGGCGGAGATGGTGTGGGGGAATAAATGAGAGCTTGTGGGCAGTGTTGGAACCATGTTCAAAAGATTTCAGAGAACAGAGGGGACTGGAGACATGCTACTGAATTCCTATGTTCCGCTAGAAACCCAAAGGACAAATAATAATAAATGACTTTCGTTTGTTTAATTTTAGTTTCTCAGATGTGCATTTTAAATGTATTATCCATTCCATTTTTCCAATTTATATGTATGCAGTCATAAGTTATGAGTGGAAACTATGAGATTAAGTAGTATAATCACTTATTTTGATCCTCGTTTTAGTCATTGTGTTTAGGGAACTGATATATATCAATAGAGTGAATTGTTTGTAAATAATATGACGAAATTTAGTAATTTTCATCTTGGCATTTATGAGTTTGTAACAACGGACAAAAAGAATGATTTCAAGTTGTTATTCATCGTAGACTGACTTCAGTCGGAGGAACGAAAGAAACCTGGGAGCACTAGACAGCTATTTCGTCTTCAACAGTACGCACCCATGACCCAGCCAGGGATCAAACCGACGACCTTCAAATGCCGCGGTCAGCGCGTTACCATTGAGCTAGCCACTGGGTCAGAATCTAATCGTCCATATTTCAAACTTCTGTTAGCTGGCGGTTACGCTATATAGTGAGCTAACAGAAGTTGAAAAATATGGATCACTGGATCCTGACCCAGTGGCTAGCTCAATGGTAATGTGTTGACCGCGGCATCTGAAGGTCGTCGGTTCGATCCCTGGCTGGGTTGTTGGTGCGTACTACTGAGGAGTCCCATACTAGGACGAAACAACTGTCCAGTGCCCCCAAGTTTCTTTTGTTCCTCCAACTGATGTCATTCTACGATGAATAACAACTTGAAATATTTCCAAATCTCCACAACTCCTTCAAAAAATGAAAAAGAATGATTATCAAGTTTTCATAACAGTGCTTAGTAAAACCTTTATAGGTTAAGTTTTGAAAGCGCGAATTGACTGTGATAAAAGAAACATTAAAATAGTAACTAACCTCATCGGCAAACATTCTGGTTACACTTTTTTCATTTTTATACTTTTCCGAATCAGACAGAAGGAATTTTTCTTTCTCATCAATAGATAATGGATCCAAATAGTTTTTGAAGTAAGTTGTAGAAGTTTGTTTAAATGTTCCATGTAAATATTTAGGTTCATTTGTTGTTGTCGATGTAGTTGATGATGTTGTTGTAACCATAGCTGTTGAGTTGATTCCAGTAAAATACAAAGCATTCTGCTGTCCAAATAATTCAATTTGATTGGGCTTAAAATAAATTGGTGGTATAGGTGGACACCATATCCCTTTTGTTCGAACACGTTTCAATGGTTTTTGCCAATTATTATTATTATCACGTTGAAATACCAAAAATAGAACTAGCACAATAGTTACTGTAGATAAAAGAAACAATGAAAGAAAAGATGTATCAGTTTGAGCTCATTACGTAATATGAATACTTCAAACATAAAAAAGAATATTTGATTATTTTCCCGTAGTTTAAAATGTCCTACTCTTATTCATTATAATCTTTGAATACTTTCATACAATTCCTAGAACGGTAACATGCCTATCCGTTTTGAGTGGTTACAGTTAGTCCTAAGGAAACACAGTAGAACCTGAATTCTTGAAACCCAGTGGAACTTAGTACTAAATTATATGCGAACAGTAAATATGAATGTGAATACAGATAAATATAAGTGCAGTGTAATATAATGATAATGAACGCCAAACAGGCATACAATGAATACTCTAACAAGTAAAGCATACATATGAAGGAGATGAGGGTAAAAAATAGATCGGTTGAAAGTAAATAATATCACCAGTGTTAAGATCTTATGCGATCTAGTTAAAAAAAGATCTATAACATGGAATAACAGATAAAAAATCATGAACGAGAGCAGTAACAACTAATAATATGAAGAGTAAGTGATGTTGGTTGAATTTCAGAAATTAAGAAAGAATGTAAGAGATAGGTAGGGTGATGAAGACAATTATGGTGAATATTTCAAGTTAGAAAGCATTTTATAAGAGACACTCACTTACAAAGGTCTATTCCTCTTTGCTTGAGAACCCTTTTTAAGCTTTGTTCTAAAGTTCTCATACATGTGACTGTCTATATACAAATGGATTGTCATAGGCCAAGAAATTTTATTTATTTCTCAAGTCAAGTTTAACATAGATAATTCATCAGTAATCCTTTTCACTGGAATACATTCTAACACATATGGGCTGAATAAAGGTCTACACCTTCATTGCTACAACTTGACAAACAGTGAACAAATCATCTATTATCTGTGCTTTTCAGCAGTCTGAATTGCTCATTTTACAAAGTTGCCTTCATCAACAAGGATAACTGTGATTATTTACTGTCTACCCAATTTCTGACTAAGCGAACACTAAGATAACACCTACTGCCTCATATCAAAGTTGTCAGACAACTGACAACTGGTTTACTTGGTTTTGTCAACTCTTACTCTTTTGTAATCAATGTTAAGAGAATTCTCAACATGACTGAAATGCGCAGTGCAAGTATTGAATGCTGATTCCATGAATCAAGATATGACAATCAACCTCCTTCTCTCTCCACTTATCTATTTTGGTTTTTAGTAAAGTTATTTTGTCCTTCTTCGTTTTGTGTTTAAGTGCTTACATGGTAATATCTTATGTTCTTCTAGATTACTCATCTTAACCAGATTTATCATTCCAAATTAAGCTAATTTACTTTCCTCTGATAATCCGACTAACTTGGATAGGCCAGTGTGACTTGCTTATTTGACCACACAATAATCGTAAGGTATTTGGTAGATCGAATTACTTTGCCTAATAGGATCAGTGAAATCCTTAAGTTGACTGGTATGAATTCCACCTTTATTCTAACCTTATTGAGAATTATACGTGGATTTTCTGATGTATCCTAACTTGTATGGTAAAACAATAAAAGCCTTAAATTCTTCCCTTTTTCTCTTTTAGTTACTAACGATAACAATGTTACAACTTCTTTTTTTATTCGTTCTTGCCAACTTCCGAATAAACTGTAAAGGATAACTGATAAGATACCTATTCACTAGTGAAATTCCTAGTCTAGTTTTCAACACTTCAATAAATCAGTTTCAATTATTATTGGATATTGACCGGAAGTCTAAATATCTGTCAATATTCGTTTTCTGTAAACGGTTGCACTTAAACCATAATCTTTTCCTTATTTTACTTTCTAGTCAGCAATAACTAATTCTCTTTGCTCATTTCCTATCTCTCAAATGAATCGGGCTGCATTTATTAAAGTTTGTGGATGTAGAGAAACTAACAATGTCTTCTAACTTCACCTAAGTGAATGTTTCACATATGTATCTCCCATATACCTTCGAAGTAGAATAAAATCTCTTTAGAGCTATATATTTCGAAACATTTGTGTCTGCCATGGTTAAAGATATCAGTGATCCCAATGGTATTTCGTTTGACTGTCTATATCTTTTATCCTGAGGCTTGGAGACTGCAGAGGTCAGATATAATTTTAACCCTAACATGAGAACTTCAAGTGATACGTTGGTTCGATGAGTCAAAATCTAACTAACTCTTGAATAATTGCAGTAAAGGCATACTGCATTAAGTTTGACCATATTTTTCCGGCCATCTTCTTTATGCAAGTTTCTAAATTTTAGTTCCAAGCCGTAGTAATTGCACGATCAAGAATTCAAGTGTTTCTGAAAATGACTTGATTGTTATATTGAGTACTTAGATCATTCAAAGTTTGGAGTATTTTTGAAGTCACCTATTGGTCTGACAGTGAAAACTGGCTTCGTTAACGCATCTTCGTCCACTGGGTCAGAGCTAAAGACATGCAACAGGAATGATGCATTATATAATTCGGGTATATGGAGAACTCTAGTACCAGTGAAAAAAAAGAGTACGAGTTTACAGAACTGTGCAGGCAAAACGTCAGAAGGTTTTTGATGACTGTGATATGACCACAAGCAACAGCACTAAAAAATGCATTCAGCAAATAATTGTGCGTCACTGTCGCATATCAAATAACCAAATCTAATATGGAATTACATTCGTGCCTCACAAAGTTTAATTCACATATCAGTTTATGTTACTTATAATAATTCAGTAATATAAATCTTTATTGTGAATTTGTAGTTGGAACTGCAACTGGTTATTTTATTCTGGTTGTTTTCAATGATTTGAATAGTGCAAGTAAATACATCCGTATGAAAGTGGCAAAAGCTGTAAATACTTTTTTAAGCCTCATCTATGGACATATCACTTGATTATATTTCATTCCCTGTGCATAAATAGGAAGAAAGTATAGAACAACATATTCTCAGGATCGAACTCTGAAGGTCCATATTCCTTATTACTGTTTCAGTTTATTCCCTTAAGGACTAATTATGAAAACTAGATGTGTTTACAACTTCCTACCCAATAAGTCACAACCTATCTTCTACTACAGACTTCATACATGGCTGACAATATTCCCCATCACATATAAGTTCTAGTAGACTCTGGATTAATCCAATGTCTTCTTGTCTCAGGCATACTATTCAAAAATCCTTATGGTTGTTGTAGTTCTACGAAACAACGTGCAATTTAAAGTTCAGAAGCTATGAAGCAGTGAAGGAATGAAGTTAGTTACGATAATTTGTAAAAGATGCACAAGTGATAAGAAAACCATCGTCGCATAAGCTATTTTTTCTTCTTAAACTGCGATTTATTCCCATTTGTCTGATTAGTGCAGTTGAGCTTCCTAAAAAATTAACATTAAAGTGTAGTATCAGCTATACATCATTATATTACATGTCATATCATGTCATTGTATCAGCTATTTATTGACAGTTTCTCAGTATCAACGTAGAATCAATGTCTTTTCAGCTTCAATCAATCTGTTGTTGTTCTTTTTATTACTTATTACCCAATGAAACAGTTTTGCTTACTAATGACTTTTTGAGCGAAATTTATTGCTCACAGTCATATCTAGGTAAGAATATAACTTCCAAATCCAGTTTTTACAGTTCTACTGCTTTTATTATCTTATTTAATTGGTATTAAAATCTCCGTATACTAAGAATCAATGTCGCGTCATTTTCATTCCAAGTCTATTAGAAATAATGCAACCCTGATTGAGATTACGTTAAAATGTCCCAAGTTAATTAAACTGGAGTGTAAACACCATTACAACTATGAAGATTCGACGATAAAGTTGTGTGACTACCGTGATATGACTATGAGCAGTAAATTCTGCTCGAAACGTCATCAGTACATGTGTGATGCATATAAATAAAGAAGTACAATGGAATTACACTTGAACACAATGACCAAGTCCCATTCTCATATTAACAACATCAATTTGGTTGATATAATGACAATATGTACAGAATTCCGGTCTGTTTAGTTCTCAGAAGATGAGCGCTTTCTGTTTTTATATGGTTGGAGTACTTGATCTCCGCCAATAATAAATAAACTACTGTTTAGTTATGATAAATCACTTTACTATCAATCACAAGTGTTACTTAAAGCATAAGAAGTTACCTAGCAAATAAAAAGGGTGTTAAAAATGAAGATATTAAAGTTGGTCTGATTAATTCATGTCTCATTTTCATATGCATATTTCTTCTCTGTCAATAGTATGATACATTATATGAAACATCGAAATACTCTAATTTATTTTATAACATTTTCTCATCTCTAATAAGCCATTATAATTATCTGTAAATATTTTTTGTGCCTTACTATTGATTTGTTCAAAAGATTATTGAGTTACTAGAATGCTGAATACTATGAAATCCTAATTAGAGGTCGACTACCACAGAATTACACAATTATGCATGAATACGGTCTACTTCAGTTGTAAGCGTATATGTTTGTTTATTTTTATCCTTTGTTTCATTTTTCATTCATTTTCTACTCTCAAACAAAGATGATTTATTTGCATAATTGAAGATATAAGTCTACTCATCACAAAATTGAGAAAAACAAGCTAAATAAAAGATGTTCCAAAATTCTAACTTTGATAAATTAATTTAAGCAATGATGAAAAGGTCAACAAAAACAGTGTCTTGTTATTTGAACGTTGTGAGATAATGGTGATGTGCATATTTGATGATTTCAAAACTCCAATGAAATAAATATTAATTTTGTAACTGTCTACTATCACTCTTGATATTCCTGATTATGATGGACTGAATCATGCAGCAAAACTTGAGGAGGGAGAAGAGGGGGATATGCTGAAGAGGGGAAAAGATCCTGGAAGATTTGGATTTCGTCGATGATGATTTATGTCTAATGTCCCGTAGCACAAACTCGAAGATCTACAGGCGAAAACTAACAAGTTGACAGAAGAGAGAAGGCAGGGCAGTGAAGACGGGACACTATTCGAGTGAAGATGGAGAAGACAGAAGTGATGATGACAACCAACAAACGCAACCACCACCAACAACAACAACAACAACAAGAAACTCCAATCACCATCAGTGGGAAAAATATAAAGGAAGCAGTCTCTTTCACCAACCTAGAAAAGGCAACATCGTTTCAACCACAGGTGGCGACACAGGAGCAGATGAGGACGTCAAAGCCAGTCAGGATTGGAAAGACACCAAGGCAGGCATTCATTAGTCTGAAATAACCAGTGTGAAGATCTGCACTCAGCATGTGGAACAAGATCCGGATTTTCAACACAAATACCAGTCAAGTAAGTCAGTGCTTCTATGAGATGGTTGAGAAACTTGGTGCGTTATAAAAAGCATTTCCAACAAACTACAGATATTCATCAACAGCTGCTGCCTACACTGGCTCCATACTGACACCGAAGATCAGATGGCCAGAAAGAATAAGCAATAAGGAAGTCTGGCTGGCTGGCTGGTGACGAACCAAAGAAGCAAGAACATATCGCTCAATAAATATGCACTGGAAGGAAGTGGAGATGGATTGGGCATGCACCGAGAAGACCATTCGAGGACATCATGCACTAAGCCAGCTACTCCAGTGGAACCCAGACAAGTTGGTCGTCCGAAGCCAGGATGATATGGAGGAGATCGTGTGAGGAGGAAATGACAGCTTGTGGTCAATGATAGACCCAGGTTCAAAAGAGAATAGAGTGAAATGGAAGCCTTTAAAGGCATATAATATCGAAGCTATATAATTACTGGAGCAATTTTTCATCCACCATTCAAGTTTTAGTTGGTCAAAAGATAAAGAAATATGTTGAGCATTTGATTATTTATGCTTCAATAACATGGAGTTGATCTGTATAGCTCTTCTAGAGTGATAACAACTTGAAAATGTAATAAATAAAGTTGACTGATCAAATTAAAACAATTGATTATACATACAATTATAAATAAAGCTAAAATATGATAAATACTATATCAATAATTAGACTGATTTCCTTTTATAACTAAGAATATTTTACTTACTTCCAGCTAAAATACATATAAAAACGTAAAGACCAATAGCTTCCTTTGAAATCTTTATAACACTTGAAGATTCTTCTTCCCATAAAGCTTTAAAATGAGATTGACTTGGTGAATCAACAAAAGTGAAGTATATAATTGTAAAAAGTGATTTGTACATATTTGTACTCAATGCAGCTAAAATGTATTCCTTAAGCTGATTTGTTTTCAATAATAGTACAGTAGAATTTATACAGGAATTTTCATCACTTTCTTCACATGATAAACTTGGAGACATTGAATAACTAGTGACTTCTAAAAGTAACTGAAAGAAATATAAGTTTATTATGACATTCTAAGAAGAAAAATAATCTTATTTATAGATTTATGTTTAAATGGTGAGTTTCTGTGCTTACATATTATTTATTTATTATTTATTATTAGTCCCTTAGGTTCTTAGTGGAACATAGGGATTCAGTAGCACGTCTCCATCACACTCTCTTCTCTGAGATCCTTTGAACCTGGTTCCACCACTGTACACAACCTCTCATTTCCTCCTCGCACGATCTCCTCCATGTCACCCTCACCTCGGACGTCCAACCCGTCGCTTCCCACGGGATTCCACTCGAGCAACTGGCCTGACGAGTGATGTCCCCAGTCGGCCTTCTCAGTGCATGCCCAATCCATCTCCACTTCCTCCTGCATATTTGTTGGGTGACAGGTTCTTGGTTGGTTCGTTTTCAGAATTCCTTGTTGCTTATTCTTTCTGGCAATCCATCTGATCTTCAGTAGCGAGCGTAAGCAGTTGTTGATGAATGTCTGTAGTTTGTTGGAAATCCCTTTCGTGACGTGCCAAGTCTCTGAGCCATACAGAAGCACTGACTTGACGTTGGTGTTGAAAATCCGGATGTTGTTCACGCTTTATGCTGAGTGCAGAAGATCTCCACACTGGTTTCAGGTTAATGAACGCCTGTCTTGCTTTTCCGATTCTGACTTTGACATCCGTTCTGTGCTTACATATAGGAAGTAAAATTAAACAAGTTTACAAGAAAACAAAGAACATGAAAGAAACATATCTTTGAACAAAATCTACTCAAATTCTGAGACTAAATATTAAAACGTCACTGTTTGAACAAAGCATTATCACTGTATAAACCTAGTTTATTTAATCAATTTTCATCCATTCAATTCTTTTATAGACAGTTAACAACTGACTAGTCAGTGTTAAAAACTTCTATGTATTCAACACTTTGAATTTAGTCCAGAACCCATTTTTGTTAATCAAAGTAAACTATGAGCCATAAATTCATTATATAGATGACTTTTTATATAATCCTAGCGTGTTTAGAAAATCGAAAATAAGATTTTGGTTGCATTGTGTTCTCTGAGCTAGGTTGTTTAATCGTGTAGCTTTCATCACCTTGCTAGACGACATCATCAGCACTAACTTCAGTATGAAGTTATGAAAGCTTCACGATTAAACAACCCAGCTCAAAGAACACAATGCAACCAAGACCATCCACCTGACTTAAAAATATTCTCCATTATTTCGAAAACAAGATTTTTCTGAACGTTTCGCTGTCTACGCCACAGCTTCTTCAGCAGAATATTCGAATTTTATTCAACATCAAAATGTATACTGTCAAAATGTATATGTAGAAATTTCTATCTTTATATAATTGGTTAGCTGTTTTGTTGTTCAGACTGATTGTTTCCTATTAGTCATCATAAATTCATACAAACTTTGTCATCTGTCATCGAAGAACATCGAAGACAGAAATTTCTACACATACCTTCAGACAGTATATATATTTTGATGTTAAATAAAATCCGAATATTCTACTGAAGAAGCTGTGGCATACACAGCGGAACGTTCAGAAAAATCTTGTTTTCGATTTTCTAAACACGCTAGGATAATATAAAAACTTACCTGTATAATGAATCAGCCTGACTCGGCGCTCAGCTTCTTTCAGGACTTTCGTAAAAACTATGGCCTGAATGTTTATAATGATCCATAAACCTAGGAATAAATAACCATACCAAGAGTCCTTCAGTTGCAATGTCAGTGAACAGATGATAGATTAGAAATATATCATACAACTTTTGTCTTGCCCAAATTAATGTCGTGCATGTAGCAACCTCTCAGTATTGTTATTCCCATTAGACTTTCATCGTTTGAATTATTGATTCTTTAGCTTAGCTACCATAATCATTTATGTTTAATGAAGACAGGTTTTCATGTTATTAATTGTGATGTGCTATTTTTGACTGCTTTGAACCCTATCTAATATTTTTATCGAGTTTGAGTATCGTTTGTATATGTATGAACATACTAAAAGCGCAAATTGCCTCATAATTCGGTAGGTGGTTTTTCATGTAAGCTAGGTCAATCACTCTCATATCGTATTAACTAGTTTTTCTATGTGATTGTTCAAAACTTTACAACCTTATAGGGTTCGATTCTCTGCTAAATTGATAGGTAAAAAGTACTCGCATCAGTGACATAAAGTTACACCAAGGAAAAGAATGAAGATTTTGAAAGAAAATACTTACTTTAATCCGATATTTACTTGGAATATCCTCCACTAAATCTTCTCCAGTAATCTCATCTTTTGCGATTCTTACTAATGCTTGTAGGATTTGTCCTAAATTGCCTAGAAATTGATTACGACTTTGCATGAAGTGTGATTGGTCTGTGTTCAACTTGAATAAAAGATATTTTCTTATAGAATGTTCATTCTCTTGCTCAGTCAGACAATCACCACCATCATATCCACACTGAAGATTGTTACAGTGTTGCTGACAAACACCGTTACCATATGATTTTTGGCAAAACTCGGATGGTTCACAATATGAACTAAAAACAAAGCAGAGAAGTAAAAAAGAATTGTTCACGTATTTTTGAAAATCAAGTCACTGAAGTTAAGCGGTAAAATGATCAGAGTAATTCAGAAATATTTAATGCCAGTTTCCAGAAAAACGGACTGATAAAATTGCATGAAATTCAAAAATGTACAGCCACAGGTAATGCTCAAGTCATTACACATAAAAAGCATTTCCCCTTTTTAAATAAATTTTAGCAGGTGTTTCAAATGAAGCATAAACTGCTTGCCTAACATTTTTATTGAAAGAAACCTCTCCTAGTTACCTAGTTCACTAGTTACTACCCGGTCATAAAACCCGACAAAGAGGGAAGGTTGGGTATAGAGCTAGCAACCCTACCACGGAAAACCAACCCAGTCACTAAAAAAACTACAAAGCACAAACAACTTATAAAAAACTAAGTAAAACTTATTCCTTACTGGAATCGGAGAGACGAAATGACACCGGTTGGTGAAGGCTTCCAAGAAACCAATTGGCTGATGTGTCCCTTCTCCCTCGATAAAAGCGAAAGTAAACACGGGGACATGGAATGTCCGAACAATATTTGAAGCTGGCTGGCAAGGCTGCCCAGATTGCAAAAGAGATGAGGAGGTATGGCCTGGAAGTGCTAGGAATCTGTGAGGAATCTGAAGATGGAATGGAAGTGAACTCTCCAAACTCTTAACTGGAGAGTCAATAATCTACTCCGACATTATCACCCAGACGACAATCACGAGCACACTGAGTTCTCGAGTGGTTATCATGATGTCCCCTTGAAGAGCATTGGAGGCTCACTCTCATGCAGTGGGAACCAATGTCCTCCTCCAGTATCAGGATCATGACAGCAAGATTCAAGTCAAATGGAAAGAAAGTCACAATCATTCAATGCTACGCTAAGCACCTACAAATAATGCAGATGAAAAGAAGAAGATGGAATTCTACAAACAACTGCAATCAGTACTAGACAAGATTCCAGTTGGCGACATCAAAATTCTAATAGGTAGGTAGGCAGAGTGACATGAATGCAAAACTGGGAGCGGACAACACAGAAACAGAAGTCATCATGGGTCAAGAGGCACTCAATAAAATGAATGAGGATGGAGAACTGTTTGCAGAATTCTATGCATTCAACGATTTGGTGATTGGAGGTAATGTGTGCAAACACAAGGATATTCACAAAGCAACATGGATTTGATTTCACCAGATGGACACACTACATTAAAACATCAGATCGACTTCATCCCAATGTATAGAGGGTCGAGATGCAGCCTACTGGACACATAATCAGATCAAGAAGGGGAACAGTTGTAGGTTCACACCACTCACTGTCTAGTGCAAGGAACCCACCTTCAAAATCAAGTTGAAAGCCTTCAGAGGAGTTGGTGATAGACCAAGTTGAACACCCAGAACAGAACAGAAACTGAAGGACAAAACTACAGAGAACATCTTCACGTCAGCCATCAAGACATAATGGGATAAATCGAGCAACATCCCTGAAGAAACCTGTGTGGATGAGTACTGGAACTCTTTGAAAGAGGTGTGGAAAGAAACTTGCATAACCATATTAGGAACAAAGAGGAAACAAGACAATGAATGGATCTCGATGGACACATGGAAGCTGATAGAGGAGAGGAAGCTGGTGAAGCAGAAGATGAACCAATGCAAGGATGAACAACGACAAGAGGAACTGAGTACAACCTATAAAACACTACACCGGACAAAGAAGTGGAGGAGAGTGCGCGGAAAGACAAAAGACACTTCTACAACACACTGGCAAGTGAAGTAGAACAGGCTGCAGGTAGGAGAGATCTCAAAACATTATGTCGAAAAACCAGGTTACCATCTGGAAAGAGATCAACACAGACGAAGCCAATGAAAGAAAGTGAAGGAGAGCTAGTTAGCCAGTAGGAGGAACAAATGAAACGGAACGATGGACTGACCACTTCAGAAAACTCTTGAATCGACCACCACCTGCAACACATTCAGAAATACCACCAGCATCGGCAGAACTACCAGAAGTCCTGAAAGCCACAAAACTGCTGAAATATGGAAAAGCAGCAAGACCAGATGGAATTCCGCCAGAAGCACTGAAAACAGACTCAGAGACATCAGCAACAGATATGCTCACACCACTACTGCAGAAGTTTGAGAAAAAGGGAGGAAAGGTACTTGTCTATTGACTGATTGTAGAAGGTTTGGAAGGAAGGAAGGAAGTAAATGTACCTGCTGAGTGGAAGTAGGGCTACCTTGTCAAACCATCGAAAAAGGGGGAAATAAGCCTTTGCAAAAACTGGCGAGGAATCATGTTCCTATCCACCCCAAACAAAATATTCTGCCGTATCATCCTGGAGAGACTAAACGATGCTCTGGATTAAAAATACGAACTGAACATGCTGGCTGGCTGGCTTCAGGAAGAGCAGGTCATGTGCAGATAAGTTGCAACGCTACGCTACGTATCATCATAGAACGAAGTACAGAATAGCAGTCAACTCTCCATCACAAGTTTACAGAAGAGACAGGGTAGCGAAGAAGGGACACTAGTCAAGTGAACGTAGAGAAGACAGAAGTGGTGATGATAACCAACAAATGCAACCACCACCACCAACAACAAGAAACTCCAATCACCATCAGCGGGAGAAATATAAAGGAAGTTGTCTCTTTCACCAACCTAGGAAAGGCAGCATCGTTTCAACTACAGGGGGCGGCACAGGCACAGATGAGGACGTCAAAGCCAGTCAGGATTGGAGAGACAGTAAGACAGGCGTTCATTAACCTGAAACCAGTGCGAAGATCTACAGCACTGCACTGCACTCAGGATAAAAATTACAAGAGATCCGAATTTTCAACACGAATGCCAGTCAAGTCAGTTTCTCTTTGTGATGGTTGAGAGACTTGGCGCATCACGAAAAGTACTTCCAACAAACCACAGATATTCATCAACAGCTGCTGCCTACACTGGCTCCATATTGACACTGAAGATCAGATGGTCAGAAAGAATAAGCAATAAGGAAGTCTGGCTGGCTGGCTGGCTGGCTGGCTGGTGACGAACCAAAGAAGCAAGAATATATCGCCCAACAAATATACAGAAGAAGGTAGTGGAGATGGGTTTGGACGTTGTGCATTTACTGAGATGGCCGACTGGGGACATCACGCACCAGGCCAGACCAGACCAGGCTAGGCTAGGCTAGGCCGTCGAGTGGAACCGAGATGGGAGACGACGAGTTAGTCGTGGGAGGTGAGGGTGACATGGATGAGGTGGTGTGAGGAGGAAATGAGAGCTTGTGGTCAGTGGTGGAGCGAGGTTAAAAGTACTGGATAGAAGACAGTGTAATGGCGAGGTGCTACTGAATCCCTATGCTGCTTTAGGAACCCAAGGAAAAAAAATAATAATAATTGAAAAAAAGATATTCAGCTAAGAAAGCTCTTCTCAACGGATTTACTCCCGGGCTGTACATTCGCACACATGTGATATTTATTGCCTGAGGAAGATTTAACTTAAATAATGCAGGGTGGAAATTATAATAATGTTGCTAGCTGATTACACAAAGCTCAAATGATAACGAAAAGGGTTATGTAAGATTCCAAATCGTTTACAAGGTGCATATAGATTAAAAAGAGGTGAAAAAGTTAATAAACAATCAAAGGATTAGGTATAATGCATGAGACAAGTTAATTGGAATAAACTGAAAAACGTTTTTGAGATGAATCGAGATTTTTAATTAAGAGGTAGTATTCGTCATTGACTGGCATCAGTTGGTAAACCATTGAAAATCTGGAACCACTGAATCCCTGAAAACTGACTCACTGGCTGAGTGGTTAACACGTTCGCCGTGAAACCTGAACATCCTGACTTCGAGCCCTAGCCGGGTCGTGAATGCATACTGCTGAGGAGTTTCATGCTAAGATGAGACAGATGTTCAGTGCTCCTAGATTTTCAATGGTTCCCCAATTGATGTCAGTCTATGATGGAAATGTTCTGTTAAAAGTTGCAACTATTAGAAAAATCAAATGGAATAGCACCGATGCAACTAAATATAAAAACAAAATGATAATGACGATACAAGAGTACAAAGATTAATGTGACAAAAGAGGAAGTTGCAAAAACAGAAAAAAAAACGAAACACACAAAGACCAAAATAAGAAAAGGTCTAGGTAGAGACAAAGATTGTACATACTCCATTTGTACACAAAGGTTAGACTTAAGTTCATGGATAGCCAAGACTTATGCTGTTTTTAAAAGTTGAAGACAGAGGAAACATGGAATGTTTGAGCGATTTTGATAAACAACCTTAAAATCCTTGCTTCGGTCGGATGAATGGTTATTATCATTTAAAAACCCCAATTATTTAAGTTAAATCTTCCTCACGGATTACAGTCTTTAAATATCATATATATATATATATATATATATATATATATATATATATATATATATATATATATATATATATATACGGATGTACAGCTTGGAAATAAATTCGTCGAAACGAGTTCTCTTAGCTGAACATCTTATTTTCATTGATGACTAACTACAGTTAAATATGACCGTTAGTCTTGTGGTAGACTAGATCATTTATCAAACCGTGAGGAGCGAGAAGATGGCTATATGCTGTTCGACAGATGAAAGGACCCCAGAAGAAGATTTTGATTTCGCCAACGATGATGATTTATGTCTAGTGTCCTTCTGTGCAAACTCGAAGATCTACAGGCAACAACTAACAGGTTGACAGAAGAGGCAGTGAAGACGGCAATTCCTTCAGGTGAACGTAGAGAAGACTTAGACAGAGGTGATGAAGATACCCAACCGTGAACAACATGCATCAATCACCATCAACCAGAGAAAAGTAAAAGAAGTAGTCTCTTTCATATCGTATCGCATCGTATCGTTTCAACTACAGGCGGCACAGGCACAGATGAGGATGTCAAAGCAAGGATAGGAAAGACACCAAGGCAGGTCTTCCGGCATTGATCTGAAATAATCTATGTTGGGTTCTGCTGCACTCCACTGCACTGCACTCAGCATAAAGCATGAACAAGATCCTGATTTTCGACATTAAGTCAGTCAAGTAAGTCAGTCCTTCTGTTTGATGGTTGAGAAACTTAGTGCGTCACGAAAAGCATTTCCAACAAACCACAGATATTCATCAACAGATGCTGCCTACACTGGCTCGATACTGACACTGAAGATCAGATGGCCAGAATAACAAGAATGATCAACAAGGAACTCTGGCTAGCAACGAACCAGCGAAGCAAGAACCTGTCACCCAAAAAATATGCAGAAGAAGGTGGTGGAGATGGATTTGGACGTTGGTCATACGCTGAGAAGACCGACTGGGGACATCACGTGTAAGGCCAGGTCGTCGAATGGAATCCAAATGGGAAACGGCGAGTTGGGTGTCTTAGGCGAGGGTGAGATGTATGAGATGGTGTGAGGAAGAAATGAGAGCTTGTGGTCAGTGGTGAAGCGAGGTTCAAATGACTGCAGAGAAGGGATTGCAATGGCGACATTCTACTGGGAACTCAAAGGACAAATAATAAAAAATAATCATAATGGCCATCAGTCTGAACCCCAAAGTGGCAGGTAAATATGATTGTATTGTAGCCTTTATAAAAAATTTCCGCATTTTATAACCGTTCATTATGTAGTAAGGCATGGGAAAAGTAGTAACATCTTAAGCACTAAGGTATTTTTTTCTAAAAGATCTCTGTTTATTGATTGGAAGAATATTTTCATGCGTTTAGTTTAAATACAGAGTAAAATTATCCATAAAACATGATTTCGTGATAAACTATTTCTTAATTAATTTATTTTAGTTACGTCATCTGCACTGAGATCTAAAAATGCTTTCCGAAATATACAAAGTTTAGTTTGTCTTGTACAAGTTTTCATACATAACTTAGAAGAGTATCCTTACAACGGTTGATGAGTCTTCACTATATCGTGTTGACATTTCATTATGGCATTGATCGCTACCGATAGATCAAGAAAACTGGATTATCTAGGCATTCTGTAAGACAAACTACAATTGAGTTATTAAGTCTTGAAAATCACTTTCAAAAATTTGTTCAGTTATCTAGAAATATTTCTTTATATAATATCTTCTAGTACAAAGAAGATAGTTCAAGGCCGCACAAGACCAAATCAGTATAGTTCGGTATATATGAGAAACATGTCATCTGCATGTTATATGCATGATAATGTCAACAAAATTCCCTCCTAGGCTTATTATTAAAAAAGTCACAATGAAAGACGTTTTTGATATAGCTCGTTATTATTTTATTCTTAAATTTCTGAACAATCAAAATCTTAGATATTTGATTCAGTGAATGCGATATCAGATGATGGTATTTAAATAAATTGTCAAAATTTATTCCCTTACCCGTGTAGTTTTGGTCACACTTTCGTTTAAATCAGTGATAACTTCAGATAATTTACTCCGAGGACTTAGAATTCTTGATGTATTTCATATTAACTTCAAACACTGACGAAATGTAACATTTGGAACAATGATATATATTATTTGTCCCTTGGGTTCTTAGTAGAACATAGGAATTCAGTAGCGCGTCGTCATTCTACTCTCTTCTCTCCTGTCTTTTCAACCCGGCTCCACCACTGCCCACAAGCTCTCATTTCTTCCTCACACCATCTCATCCATGTCACCGGCGCCATGGACGCCCACTACATCGTTTTCCCTTTGGATTTCACTCGAGGGCCAGGCTTTGCGTGTGATGTTCTTAGTCGGCCTTCTCAGTGTATGACCAACGTCCAAATCCATCTCCACTTCCTTTCAGTGAATATTTGTTGAGCGATAGGTTCTTCCTTCATTGGTTCGTCACCAGCCAGCCAGCCAGACTTCCTTAGTGCTCATTCTTTCTGGCCATCTGATCTTCAGTGTCAGTATGGAGCCAGTGTAGGCAGCAGCTGTTGATGAATATCTATAGTTTGTTGGAAGTGCTTTTCATGACGCGCCAAGTTTCTCAACCATCACATGGAGACACTGACTTGACTGGCATTCCTGTTGAAAATCCGGATCTTGTTCCACATGCTGAGTGCAGATCTTCACACTGATTATTTCAGATTAATGAATGCCCGTCTTGGTGTCTTTCTGGTCTTAACTGGCTTTGACGTCCTCATCTGTGCCTGTGACGTCATCTGTGGTTGAAACGATACTGCCTTTTCTAGGTTGGTGAAAGAGACTACTTTCTTTAGTTGTCTCACGTTGATGGTGATTGATGCTTGTTGTTGGTGGTGTCGTTGGTTAGGTATCAAGGAACAATGACGTACGTAGTGCATTTTATTCAGTTCAATATGACAACATTATCATCAATATCTAGTAATTTACAAATTATTTATGAAAAACTTGTCGAAAGGCAAGATATTTCCTTCTTGCGTCTAATAGTCTCATTGGTTTCAACAGGGATTTTATTTACAGATTTTTCTGAGAGGTTTGTTATCTAGGCATAAAATAAATTTAATTTTAAAAAAGGTGGCTTGTACAATATTTTGACGTGGTATTTCGCTTTTTTTTTTTCAGTTTTCTATTTTATGTCTTTTAACTAAAATAAAATTTCATTATAAATGATTTTCGCATAGAAACACAATTTGCATGATAGATATGAAAAAAATTGTTGCTAGTTCGAGTATACCTGTTGTCGAAGTTTCATTCAATCCCTCTTACTTTATATAAACCAAATTTAAATTAGAAACAAAAAAAAATGAGAATTATTCAATAACTGTATGTGTGTCTCATGAATTATTGAAATGACTCCAATTAAAACAATGAGGCAGATTAAATTTTACCTGTTTACTTCAATGATAAATGTACTAATTTCATTTAGGCAAATAAATGATTAACTTTAAAGGTACACTGAATAAAGTTGTTTAGGTTACAGACAACTAGAGACTTTAAGCAATTGATCTACTGGATTATAAAGTTATACGCTTAATACAAAGATAATTAGGTCAAAAAAAATTTAGCTATTAACATTTCAATAAATGTAGCTGACTTAATAAAATATCATACTCTATACCAAAGAAATATTATGTAAATCCTTTGAATTTTTTTACAATACCATCAATCAGATTTATAGCTTTTTCAATGTTACCTTGATATACTTAGTAAATCTCGAGAAAGATAATGTCAGAAATCTATCGATTTCTGAACAGGTTATATTTTTGTATTCATTCTATCAGTTTCAATAATGAAAACATAAGTTACTCACTTGTAATAAGAGGTAACATAGACTACAGTAAAAAATTTATCTGCCACCTAGCCACTTAAACTATCGAGATGGTTAACATTTACAATTCTATGCTTCTTAGGGATTTAAATATGATCCTTTATGATCCCGCATTATTTATTATATTTATTTGTCCCTTGGGTTATTAATGGAACATAAGGATCCAATAGCACCTCGCCATTACACTCTCTTCTATTCAGTATTTTAAACATGACTCCAACAATAACCACAAGCTCTCATTCCTTCCTCACACCATCTCATCCATGTCACCCTCACCTCCGACGACCAACTCGTCATCTCCCATCTCGGTTCCACTCGACGACCTAGCCTAGCCTGGACTGGACTGGTCTGGCCTGGTGCGTGATGTCCCCAGTCGGCCATCTCAGTCAATGCTCAACATCCAAATCCATCTCCACCACCTTCTTCTGCATATTTGTTGAGCGATATATTCTTGCTTCTTTGGTTCGTCACCAGCCAGCCAGCCAGCCAGACTTCCTTATTCCTTATTTTTTTCTGGCCATCTGATCTTCAGTGTCATTATGGAGCCAGTGTAGGCAGCAGCTGTTGATGAATATCTGTAGTTTGTTGGAAATGCCTTTCGTAACCTATGATCCCGCACAGAAACTAATTACTTTACAAAGAAATCAATTTCAAATAAATGCTACAATCAAATAGTCTGTATTTTTTACCTCTGTCAGTTCCCCATATAGTATGATATCCATTCATTGCTGTCAGTGAGTAATCCTTCTCATGTCTGGCTTCATTAGACTGACTGATCATGACATCTTATTATAACTTCGGGAATCATCTCTTAAAACTACTCACTAATGAGCTAATTTCTTAAGATTTTATTTGTTCTTCAATTCTTTCTTGAGCTTTTACTTCTCATAAGTGTACACACTATTTTTTAATAATCGCTAAGTTTACGAAAACGTTAATGATTATGAACATAGAAAGTTAACATTCAGTAGACGTTTGAAGACAAAGCTTTAGAGATTTTTATGTCTTCCCTAATTAAAAAACCGTCTCGTGTAAGTTATAACCAATTACATGATCACTACCCTAAGAGTATGCGTATATTACAACTACAGAAGTGAAGTATTCACTTACTTGAACTGCATACAATCAAAGCCATCTAGATAACATTCATTTAGATTGCATTGAGATTGACATTCTCCATTTTTAAACTGTTCCACACAAGTTGTTTGATTATATTGTTTCACGATATGTTCAGTTAATTGTAAACATTTTATCCAATATTGACAGTCTTGTTTTAGTTCTTGTTCAACATTTAAACAATTGGCATAAATACACTTTGCTTGACAGATACCATCACCAGGTCTTGCTGTATTACATCCAATGTGATAACAGTAATCGTTGAATAAACCGAACTTTTGCTTTACGTTATTGTTTAACACATTTAACTTCGATGTCTGATTCTGAAGTAAAATAGTAGCAATTGGTGGGGCATGTTTGGTAAAATTTAAGGATATATTACACAGACGTCCAGTAAATCCTAAATTATTACAGAAAAACAAGATAAGTGTATCAGGAATATTAACTGGTCAGAAAATAGGTTGTATACTAAGATATGAAAGTAGTTTAACTAACCCAGCAAAACATTTAGCTCTGTTTGAGAAAAAACACTAAAAATCTGTTTTTATAAACAGTTTTCACTACAGATTAAAATTAAATTGAAAAGTTGTCAGTTCGAGATGTAAACTACATACTGAATTGTTATAAACTGTTATACTCCCTACTGATCTTGAACAAACATAGACATAAGTAATTTACACCGTTGAAAATCACTATTCCAATTAGTGCCGACATTGAGTTTTTTCTAAAGTAACAATTTCCTGGAAATATACTTGACTTATGGCCAGAAAGAATAGGAAACAAGGAACTCTACCTGGCTGGCTGACAGCGAATCAAACAAGAACCTATCACACAACAAATATGCAGAAGGAAGTGGAGATGGATTGGGCTTGCACTGAGAAGACCATTCGGGGACATCACACGTCAGGCCAGGTACTCAAGCGGCACCCAGATGGTAAACGACGAGTTGGGCGTCAGAGGTGAGGGTGACATGGAGATCGTGCGAGGAAGGAATGAGAGCTTGTGGGCAGTCGTGGAACCAGGTTAAAAAGTTTTCAGGGAACAGAGTGTAGTGGCGACGTGCTACTGAATCTCCATGTTCCATCAGGAGCCCAAGGGACAAATAATAATAATATAATACTTAATTTTATTCTGCGAAAGGCACAATCCTGATCTGATACCATAAACTTTCCAGGTATTTTTAACATATTTCTATACACACATATACAAAACGAGTGATCAGATATCAATGAATGATTCAGTTCGAAATCACTTAAACGATGTGTCTAGATAACCAAAATCTTAGATATATGTTAAACTATTTGGGAACGATAACCATGACATTTCTATGAACCAAAAATGGTGCTTCGAAGCTCTTCACAGAGTGCCTTAGACTTAGATTGCATACCTATTCACAGTTATCAACAGCACACATAAAATATATAACGCAGATAAATCCGATGATTTCTTGTAAGGTATGAACCTTCATAATTCAGCATTACATTCATCTTACTAAATTCCTTGAAAAAAATTCAGCCTTGCCAAAGGCTCACTTATATTTTGCGATATTCTTCAGTTTCAGTCTTGTTCTTGCATTAATGAATACTTACAAGTAGAAGTCAAGGGAAAAATAATCACATTTTAGGGATAGAAAAGTTATTTAGTAGAGCTTACTGGTAATGCTTGTTTGGCTAATTACTCCGGGAACAGTTATTTCCATTCAGAAATTACAACGAATTATATGATTCAGTCAAATTTGAACAAAATTATAAAAATGTACTTAATATAGGAGTAAAACTTGGGCATTGTGATAGACTGTAACTCCATTTCAGTGTGTTTATTAGAAATGTCACACAGTGAAACAATATCATTTATTGTTGAATAATGTTTCCGACATAATTTAATATCCATATTCATATCAAGTAATACCACAACTTTGAGAGAGCTTACATATATTCCTTAATCCTCTCTCCTTTGTGATGACAAGAATGGTACAATTTTCTATATATCTGGGTCAAGTTTAGAATCATTTCTGTCACTGCATGTATTTTGTGTTGATTGTATAAACAAAGATTCGGTTATCAATCTTTACCTACACCCAACTAAGGTAGTTTCAATACGGTTGCTCTATCTCACCCTACTGCGTAATTGCGTGTAATTGCGTGCAGAGCTACAGCCGAGCCTTTCACTAAATCCCTTATCTTCTTAGGATCTACCTATCTTGATTTAGCTAAACTTTTGCGCTGCGTTATTCCAACTGATCCTGGTAGACTACTTTGTATTTAAACTAATAGTCATTGCAAGGGATTTCGTAAACCAAAAAATTTTAACTAATTGGATCAGTAGAATCTTTTAACCCACAAAGCTTGTTCCTAGGCGAGTTTGTATAATTAAATGCCACTCTAATCCTAGACTTATTGAGAATTCGTCGTAATACTTCTCTGACGCCTTCGTTACATAATAAGACAGCAGATAATATGTTTTCCATAACCCTATCACTATTATTACCACTATAAGTAGATTTATTATTATTAACACCTATATTACCATTACTACTATTACTACTTATTATAATTATAAGTCCCTTGGGTTCCTAGTAGAACATAGAGATTCAGTAGCACCTCGCCATTACACTCCCTTCTTTTCAGTATTTTAAACATGACTCCAACAATAACCACTAGCTCTCATTCCTTCCTCACACCATCTCATCCATGTCACCCTCACCTCCAACGACTAACTCGTCGTTCCCCATCTCAGTTCCACTCGACGGCCTAGCCCGGCCCGGCCTGATCTGGCCTGGTGCGTGATGTCCCCAGTCGGCCATCTCAGTCAATGCTCAACATCCAAATCCATCTCCACTACCTTCTGCTGCATATTTGTTGAGCGATATATTCTTGCTTCGTTGGTTCGTCACCAGCCAGCCAGCCAGCCAGCCAGCCAGCCAGCCAGCCACAGTCAGTTCCTTGTTGCTTATTCTTATTATTCTGACCATCTGATCTTCAGTGTCAGTATGGAGCCAGCGTAGGCAGCAGCTGTTGATGAATATCTGTGGTTTGTTGGAGGTGCTTTTTGTGACGCACCAAGTTTCTCAAACACCACATAGAAGCACTGACTTGACTTGTTCACGCTTAATGCTGAGTGCAGTGCAGTGCAGTAGATCTCCACTCTGATTTCAGGTTAATGTAGGAAGGCCGGTCTTGTTGTCTTCCTGATCCTAGTTTTTACGTCCTCGTCTGTGCCTGCGCCACCACCTGTAGTTGAAACAGTGTTGCCTAGATAGGTGTAAGTGAAGGAGGCTACTTCCTTTAGGTTTCTCCTGTTGATGATGATTGTAGCTTGTTGTTGCTGATGCTGTTATTGGTTGTGTATCTTCATCACCTCTGTCTTCTCTATGTTCACTTGAAGTGCTGTCTTCACTGCCCTGCATTCTCTCTTCTGTCAACTTGTTAGTTTTCGCTTGTAGATCTTCAAGTTTGTGTGACATTAGACATAAGTCATCGGTGAAATCCAAATATTCTAGGTTCTTTCCCCCGGTCCAGCGTATCCCGCTCTTCTCGCTACTCACTGTTTGTTGCATGATCCAGTCCAGTTGACCGTAATCAGGAATATCATGAGTGATAGTAGGCAGCCTTGTTTTACTCCTGTCTCCACTTCAAAGGCGTCACTGAGCTTCCCACTGTGAGTTACTCGGCATGTGGCGTCTTCATATAGTTGTTGAATGAGATTGATAATGGTTTGTGGCATTCTGTAGCGCGTGAGCAGATTCCAGATAATTCCTCGGTCGGCGCTGTCAAAGGTCTTTTCGAAATCAATGAAGTTGAGGTAGAGATCCAATTGACTGCCATTCTATACTCTGTTCTATGATGACGCGAAGCGTTGCAATTTGGTCCGCACATGATTTGTACTTCCTGTTCGGGTAGTAGTTTTGAATCCAGCCCACCCTTCAGTCTCTCTAGGATGATGTAGCATAGTATTTTGCTTGGAGTGGACAGAAGCGTGGTTCCGCACCCGTTCCTGCAAACACTTAGGTCGCTCTCTTCAGGAGTTTGACAAGGTAACCCTTCTTCCAATCACCAGGTATCTTTCATTCCTTCCAGACCTTCTGCAATAGTGGTGTGAGCATGTCGGCTGTTGTGTCTTTGTCTGTTCTCAGTGCTTCTAGCGGGATTCCATCTGGTCCCGCTGCTTTCCCTCATTTCGGTAGCTTTATGGCATGCAGGAGTTCGACTTTTGTTGAAGGATTTGTGTTCACTTGTAGTTCTGTGGCTGCAGGTGATATTTCTGTACGAGTTGTAGTTGGTGGTGGTGGTCGATTCAAGAGCTTCTTGAAGTGGTCGGCTCATTGTTTCCTTTGTTTCTCTTCTTTCGTAATTAAATTTCCGTCATCACATTCTATTGGTTTCATCTGCGTTGATCTCTTCCCAGATAGTAACCTGTTTATTTTATATAATGTTCTCAAGTCTCTCCTACCTGCAGCCTGTTCTACTTCACTTGCCAATGTGTCGACCACTAGTACTACTACTGCTAATATTTTTCTTTCGATTCCTTACAAATTTATTCAGTAAGGGATACTTTTTCACGGTGTGATATCTTTAATGAACAGAAAAAATGGAATGAAAGTGTACCTTTTATTTTGATAACGCCTTTTGTACATTTAATGAAACTAACTGGTTTAAAGGAATCCAGTCGCGGTCTAAATTATTATTTCATATTCAATCATTACTCAGTACTACTAGTCTACCAAACCACGGCTATTTCAGATAGTCAAAATGAAGTACTTATTCACATACTTCAATTCTGATTAAATTACTAATTTATTCATCAAAATCATCAGCTCAACTAGAATACAGTTTCGTATGAACTACCTTCAAGTTGTCAGCGACATTCTCCTGTAATTTATAGGAAAAACTCAAACATTTAGGATCTCAACAGTTGCTGTGTTTCTCGATCAATAAGACAAATAAATAAATCTGGTTTACTCCCTTTATCGGTTATACTGAGTATCCATCTAAATCAGAATGTATTAACTAATTTTAAGCTTGGAATATTTTCTCAGGACAGTCATTTAAATTACCATGAGAAGAATGTTAATTGTTATAAATACATTACGTTGTATGAAACGTCTGTATATTCTCACCTACGGGACATAGGCAACTGTAGTGTTCACCATTCTGTAGACACGTAGCCCCATTTTGACAACTGTGTATCTCACATAGATTCTGTTTCATAGCACAAAAACGACCAAAATAACCGGATCCACATTCACATTTAAAATTCACAATATATTCTGGTTTGTAGATAGAAAATGGAGGACCTGAAAGTGTTCTGTTTGTGGAGGTTATCAAATGACATGTTGAGTTTTTTCCAAAACATGGAGAATCAGGGAAACATGGATTGATTTCCTACAGGGAAACACAAACGAAAATGAAGTTCAATCGAAGCTATTAAAAAGTTCATCTTAATTACACTTCAACAAAATATCCATATCAAATAAGAGATTTCTCCTGAGGGACGTAATAGTATTCAGGTGGGCAATGAATATTCCTACTATCTACAAATTATATACTTTTGTTTCACTTATAAACCTTAACACTTTCAGGTATTATGTTTAGGAAAATTCCAAGTTCGAATTTAACTTTCTGTGCAAAGATATTTCAATATGAGGTGAAGTCAACTTTTTCTTCACCTGACTTTCCAAAAATAGGCCTTTTACTTTCAGTAAAGTTATCGGTTACCTTTGGAAAGGATATAATCTAGTCTGCCTATCGCCGACACATAGTTATGAGTAAATCTTATATTCCTAACAAATACTGCGGGTATTTAGGCATTCCTTGTCAGTGACCAATCTTGCTCACTATTAATTATACAGAACTTCTAAGCAAATAGGAAACTTCAGAGTTTCTTGTTGCAAAGACCAATCTCTAAGTGTTATTTGTAAGTATTTTATGCAGGTAAGCTTAAAACTGAAGCTGACAAACTCTTCGTGATGGCTGTGAATAAAGATTTTATTTAATTGTATTTCGGGGTGTTTGGATAGTCAATAGATATTTTGTTGTACTGAGTGTTGAATCAAGACGGCGGCACAAATGAGGATGTCAGAACCAGGATCGGAAAGATATCAAAACGCACTTTCACTGATCTGAAACCATTGTGGAGATCTACTGCACTGCACTGCACTCAGCATTAAGCGTGAAGAAGTCAAGTCAGTGCTTCTTTGTGGAGTTCGAGAAACTTGGTGCGTCACGAAAAGCACTTCCAACAAACCACAGATATTCATCAACAGCTGCTGCCTACGCTGGCTCCATAGTGACACTGAAGATCAGATGGTCAGAACAATAAGAATAAGCAACAAGGAACTGACTGTGGCTGGCTGGCTGGCTGGTGACGAACCAAAGAAGCAAGAATATTTCGCTCAACAAATATGCAGCAGAAGGTAGTGGAGATGGATTTGTATGTTGAGCATTGACTGAGATGGCCGACTGGGGACATCACGCACCAGGCCAGATCAGGCCAGGCCAGGCCGGGCCGGGCTAGGCCGTCGAGTGGAACTGAGATGGGGAACGACGAGTTGGTCGTTGGAGGTGAGAGTGACATGGACGAGATGGTGTGAGGAAGGAATGAGAGCTTGTGATTATTGTTGGAGTCATGTTTAAAATACTGAGTAGAAGAGAGTGTAATGGTGAGGTGCTATTGAATCCCTATGTTCTACTAGGAACTCAATGGACTAATAATTGTATTATAATAACTGAGTGTTGAATCCGCTTTAATTGTGCATGCCCCATGAATTCAAAATTACACATCTGAAGAGCGTATAAACCGAAGTTTCTGGTTACTTCTGACTTAAGTATTGGACCTCTGGCAAACGTATTTATATTTACACTAGTCAACAATTATCACTCTAGTTTACGTGTATTTGTTAATGTTTTTCTGTATTCAAGGTAAGTTATATAGTTTAAGTTTATTGACAGTGATTGCAAAAGAAGATGGCTGCATATTGAATATGTTGATGTCCTTATGCTTTACATTACTTTTATGACGATTCCTATCATTTCCAGACTTCATCTGTCAATGATTAAATGAGTGATTACTTTTCGAATGAGTTCGGAACGAGTCAACACCTTTTAGAATATTGCATAAAAAATTACTTACCCCCCCCCTCCCTTACTTTTTTCAAGTATGTGTGATTTCAATGATTATTTCCACGTATTTTATTCCGTATGCTGTACTTCACACATAACAATTACTAAATGTATGATTAGTGTTTACTGTTTAACTACATACTCATGTTTTCCATTTGTCCTGCGTTACTTGAACAAAATATGATATCCAATTATAAGATGTTTCATCTGTTTTGTTGAGTTGATTGCCAGTGTATAAATTAAGAGTTTATGAGTGTTGTTTAGGCTAATCTTGTTAATAATAACACAAGTGTCATTCAAATGATACATCTCTACTTTTGAATTGGTTAGTGGCAAAACAACCTATCTAACCTCTTTAGAATTGTATCACAAACATGGCAGTGAATCCAGATATAAGCTACTGTTCTATATCTTTGATAGCGTTTCCTATTTAACAAGGAGAAGATATGTTACACAACTTGGTACTAAGCTCCATTGGGACCTAGTCACAGAGATGAACACAAACTCATTTTCATATATCCATGAAAGAGTCGGTGACAGTTTTATTTTTTACTTTCAGACTTCATAATATAAGGTAAAACAAGATCAGGAAGGTAATATAATTTCACAGTTTCAGTTATCAGAATGTGAATTTTTTTCTAAGAAGTAATGAAAACGATAACAGAATCTTTTCATATTTATTTCAGTGTCTTATTTGCTATGCTATATCTCTTCATATTCTAAATGTCAAAATATTGAAATTATGGTATACAGAAAGTTATTAGGCTTTTACAAACGGCTAGTACACCAATAGAAACAGGTACTTATATTTTACCTATAAAAGCAAGCAATTCCATAAATGCAACTACATCCTCCCCTTTTAATTAGCCTTTGTTAAAATCATTACAACAAGGAATATATGGCACTTTTTCGATCCTTACAGACCAAATATATAGTTCCAGGTTAACCATACTGTCGTAGTACGATTTTTCTTAGGAATACCTTTATTTCTATCTGAAGAAGGACTATTTTTATGCACTTAATAAAACTTAAAAATGTTTTGTTTTCAAATACTTCTGAATCACGGTGAACATCGTGTACAATTCTGTGATCTCTTTTTTCATTTAATTTATTCCAGTTCAAGTTACTGATGTAGGTGTAAGAAAGTGATAACCCACTATTTCTTCATTTCTGAACACTTGATATGCATAGATATACATGAAACTTTACCAGAATTCACTATACGTTAGAAATTATACAAAATGCAGTCGATCTTCTTCCCACTAAGTCATTAAATTAAGAAAAGAAACTGACTGTTCTTTGTTTCATGACAGCTACTATCATCAGCATATGTACAGTACAAAACTGTCATAATATCATGCAAAAGAATTAGAAAATACAGTTTAAAATTCTTTAAACTTAGTAACATTGTGTTCATATTGAAAATATGCGTCTAAGAACTTCTCATTTCAATACTATAAACAGTGATAGATTTAACTGTGACAAATACTCCTGTAGGAAGATAGAATTAGTCAACTATTTGTGTTAATAAAAGTATACATTTCTAAGCCAAAAGATGGACCAAAATCTTGGTATTTTATTTTGTCTTCAACTCAAATTTCCTTAGTAAGCCTCCATTTTTTATGCGACATAGTTATGATGATGACTTGATGTCTATGCTTAATATCTAAATGAATATTCATCTACATTTTCATAAAAACTACCTATAATCTAAATGAAGTTGAAAACTACGCTTCACTTATTTCTGTATGATAAAATATGTCTCTTTTATCCAGATAACTGGCAAGATGAAGAATTAGTTACTGAATCTTCTTCTGCTGAAACAACTTTCTGAGAGTTTTGATTTACACTAAAGTTATTCATGTATCTCATTGAAGTTCCTTTGAAAGTTAGTCTTAAAAAGATGATTCACGAGTACCTGAGAAATCTCAAGCGTATACAAACTGTTAATCAAGCTTAAAATAACAGTTTTAAGGTGTTATATTGATTTCTAAATGAAGTTATTTATGAAATTAGAAGTTTGACTATAGTGGGTAGTCGTGGCTTTGCAGATCTATATTGATACTTGGTGATGTTTGAAGATGAAATGAGAATCTCGGCCGTGACAGGTCACTTGTTTGAATCATGTCATGGACCAGATTTTCATTTCACCTTCAATCATTACAGAGTATCAATATATCAGAGGTCATACAGGACAGAATACTCGTTATTTTATAGATCCACTGAACTCGTTAATATGTCAGACACAGTAAACACTGAAGTAGATTAAACTTTTAAAAAAGAAATGTCATCCTTTAAATAAACACTTTTTTCAGTAAGTACTAATGAGTACAAAGTTTTTGTCAAATCATTAAATTTTCATGTTGAATGTGCCGACTAAAAATATGTTGTCAGTAAGAATATTGATGTATTTTGGACTTTATATCATCACATATTACTTACCTTTTCACAGCGTATTCCACTGTACCACTTAGGACAAATACAAGTGAATTGACCGAATGGGTCAGATTGACAGACTCCACCATTTAGGCAGGGAGCAATATGACATGGATTTCTATATTCACAGGTTTGACCTAATGAATAAAAATAAGAAGATTATGGCATAGAATAAACGTTCACATAGGAGAAGTAGTTCAGTTCGGAAATAGTATGAGTTCTATCATACAACCTCAATATTCAGTTCTAAAGTATAAGTGATTGATGGATAAAATTTTTTACATGCCTCACACTTCACTGAGAAATAATTTTCGTAGCTTCTGGGGGTAGAACGTCAATGAAAAATTTACTTGAAGTTTAATCTATTAAAACGATAACACAGTGTAATTATTTATTTATCCAGTGAATGATTAACACATTGATCTATAATAGAGAATGAACAACTCTTTGAACAGGAAAGTATGGCACCATTTCATTTCGCTGATTTCACATCAGCTACTAACAGCCTAAAACATTTCAATATCATTTCAATCGCATTTTGAGGGAGTTGTGGAGATTTGGAAATATTTCAAGTTGTTATCCATTGTAGACTGACATCAGTTGGAGGAACAAAGGAAACCTGGGGGCACTGGATAGCTGTTTCGTCCTAGTATGGGACTCCTCATCAGTGCGCACCCACAACCCCACACCACCATGTATCTAACCCACGACCTTCAGGTTCTGTGGCGGGCGCGTTACCATTGAGCTAGCCACTGGGTCAGAATCCAATGGCCCATATTTCCAACCTCTGTCAGCTCATGATATAGCACAATCACCACCCAATGTCGTCGTTGAGTAATTGTCCTCATTACCATCAGGCTTTGACTCCACGGGTCACGACTTCTCATTGGAACTTCGGGAATACTTCTCGAAGCTAGTCACTTAATGAGCACCAGTTCAATTGCATTTTTTGAAGTAGTTGTGGAGATTTCTGACTCAGTGGCTCAATGGTAATGTGCCCGCCACAGAACCTGAAGGTCGTGGGTTAGATACATGGTGGTGTGGGGTTGTGGTGCGCACTGATGAGGAGTCCCATACTAGGACGAAACAGCTATCCAGTGCTCCCAGGTTTCATTTTTTCCTCCAACTTATGTCAATCTACAGTGAATAACAACTTGAAATATCACTTCACAAAACAATAAGGACTTACTTTTTCCCCTTTAAATGAAGTTAGTTGATATGGGACGACCCTAGCAAACTATTGTGTAAGAAGGTTAACAAGTCGTTTAAATGATGATAAATAATGCAAATGATGTAGTAATATGATGAGTTAGATCCATTTTACTATGGAATATGAAAGCAGTGACAATTTCAATGTCTTCGACATTGTCTTTCAAAATAGAGATCATGGTACCGTTCAGAGGTCCATTCATCGAATGGACTTTTCCTAAATTTCAATAGCTTTTGTCCAATCAATTTTAAACGAACATTGGTCAGAATCTTCTGTTCGAAGCGTTGTTCTTTCTATATTCAAGTTCATAAAGGAAAATATGCATATGAAATACTGACTTAATTGCCCGTGAGACCGTTTGCAATTTAGTTGCTTTAATCTTACACATAATCAAGAACTGGAACTATACATAGTAACAAAACCGAAGACTATTTCCGTTATTTTAACTTCAACCCACCCTATAAAAACTTAACTGTCATTTGACTAATGAATTTCAAACATTTACATAAAGAGGAAGCAGTTTGTCTTAAGTACAAAAAAAATGATCCAGCAAATGACTGACATCCGTTCGAATCTTTTACGTTCCCCCATTTCCTTACTGGTACAGACCAGCAGGTATGAAATCTTAGAAAATAGGTTCCTGTCAATTTCTTCCAACTATCTAACCTAAAATATGATGGAATACAATGGCCTTTGAGTAGGTATGGTATGCACAGTGCGAACATGATTCACAGTTTTCAATTCACACTTAAGGCCAGTCATGGTATGGCTCAGAATCGACCTTGGTGGTGCAGATCCATTCATACTTTATCTACACAATAATCGTCATATCACATATCTTTTCTGCACAATCCCCCCTTTTCTTGTTGCACAACTTTATTCAAATTCTGACTGCATTTTTTCACATTTTCTGAGTCTTTTGCATCATTGCCTTGTTCCTTAGGTTCTTGGTTTGGAATGTAACAACTCTTGTAGTTGTTCATTAACACGAAGCAGCTTGTTAATATTGACTGAATGTTCACTCATCCTGAAAGAAAAATATTCCTTTTTGACTTGTTCATTCAACTGGTATATCCTGATATATAAAGGTGAGGACTTTGAGGGAATTGTGGGGATTTGGAAATATTTCAAGTTGTTATCCATTGTAGACTGACATCAGTTGGAGGAACAAAGGAAATCTGGGAGCACTGGACAGCTGTTTCGTCCTAGTACGGGGCTCCTCAGCAGTGCGCAACAACGACCCCGCCCTCCAGGGATCGAACTCGCAACCTTCAGGTTCTGTGGCGGGCACGTTACCATTGAGCTTATAGAGTTTGGAAATATGGACCGTTGTGTTCTGACGCAGTGGCTCAATGGTAACGCGCCCGCCACAGAACCTGAAGGTCGCAGGTTAGGTCCGTTGTGGTGCGGGGTTGTGGGTGCGCACTGATGAGGAGTCCCATACTAAGACGAGACGGCTTTCCAGTGCTCCCACGTTTCATTTGTTTCCCTAGCCGATGTCAGTTTACGATAAATAACAACTTGGAAGGTGAGGACGCTTAAAGAATAATGCTCAGACTCCCCCTTTGACGATAGTTCAATCCCTGTGAAAATATAAAAGTCAATAAGGTGACAAAAAAAGATATAGAAGTGTTCAAAGTATAATGATCTACGTTTACACACAACGGCATTGTTTGTCTTTAAGCATTGCTGGATAGGCAGTTTTAGCTGACTTTATCTATGCAGTCAACCTGATGCTTCTAGATGTGACCATGGTGTTTTTCTCGAAACTTCGGAGAGTGTTAACTGGTTGTAAAGGGTTTGAGACATCTCGAGGTTCTCTGGAGGACCTAAAAAATCATATTTGACACCACAATACTTCAAAAAGCAAACATATGGTGCTATGGAGCTCATAGATTCACACTTAACGCTTGATCAGGGAGTGTAAACGTTTTGTGGAGCACTTTTACATATAATTTACTTCCTCCGCTAGTTTAAACCAGCTTATCTGCACCTTTTAAAGTATGCGTTTATAATATAAATCTACAGGCATTTTTAACGAGTGTCTACTTCCCTTTTTCTCAAGTTCTACAAAACAGAAGAGCGAAATGCATTTTCAGAAATTTTTCCAACGGCATTTCATGGTGACTTCAAATGCTGTATAGCTTTACTGAATTCCTCAAGTGCCATACAAAACAATTCCGTGTCATCATACATTTTAGTAACAGTGAACCAATTAAATAAATTTGACTACGTTGAGACTATACCTGAGATTATGCATTAATAAACGTTTGACAGTCAAGTATGCACGTCAGTAATAGTGCTACAAGTTGTCCTATCTATGGATTGTTTAAAATCAATGTAGCTTCATTCCTACGGCTTTCCAGCCTTCTACAAAGGCTGTAAAATTATCGTTTCTAAAGTCGCATGATTTTTGCCGGCACAGTCTTTAGTGCATTTGTGCGGCTAACGTTAACGTTCGCTTCTTCTTTCTTTTCAAAACTTGGTTCTGATAAAATGCCAACTTCAATGGTCTGCATAACAGCTTGTGTTTTTATTCCTTATTTAATCCACTAGACCTATGAGTGATTGGTTCGTTATACGATGTCTGGAAATGGGTAAAATGAAAGTGTACTACCTAGATGATATACCTCTTACCGTCTGATACACTGAAAGTAACTTCTGAATTTGGCTAAATCTGGGGTCTTGCAGAAGGCTGCTGGCTAGTGAATTTACGTGAAGTTGTGTCTATTTTCCGACTAAATTCATTTGCCTGAGGCATAAATATGCAGCTGCTGATGACAACGCTTAAACTTACAATAGTCTTCCTTGTGAACTTCCTGGGAACACGTAGTGTAAAGTTGATGTTCGAAAGAGCTGAATGTCACAAAATTTAAACGAATACATCTGAAACTCATGAAATACGGTTTAGAGTTTTGATTAACACTATATGAAGAAATGTCTTCAACAATCTTTTTCTCCTCATGGATACTGCAGAGGTTACTGTTATTCTCACTGATTAATGTCACATGATCCATATATTGAAATTTTTCACGTTTATTCATACCAATAAACTTGCAGCTGATGTGAACTCCTATTCGTTCACAAAATAAAAAAAAATCTCCTGAAAATCAACCAGATATCATGTTCAACGACAGACAGTAGCGAAGTGAGACTGGTGAATACAAATGGTTTCCATACACAAAAAATATTCACAGTTAATTTCTGTACCTTTATGTGGATGCAAAAAAAGATTATTTCGTACATAATTTTTATCATTACATCATATCTCCAAAAAAAGCTTCAGCAAGTTATCTTTAAGTGGAGGGATTCGAATTAGAGATCATGAGTTTTTTTCAAAACTCTTGGAGTGATCTGTCTTCTCAAAAAAAGACCACCAATATTTTTGAAGAACGTAGAGAAGACAGAGGTAATGAAGATACCCAGTTAACAACAACAACAAGCTCCAATCAACATTAACGGGAGAAACTTAAAGGAAGTAGCCTCCTTCATCTATCTAGGCAGCATCGTTTCAACTGCAAGCGGCGGCACACAAGAGGACATCAAAGCCAAACATGATCGGAAATACAGCAAGACAGGCGTTCATTAAAAAGAAAGTAGTGTGGAGATATTCTGAACTCAGCACAAAGCGTGAACAACATCCAGATTTTCAACACCAACGTCAAGTCAGTGCTTCTATGTACTGATTGAGAGAGTTGGCGCACTACGAAAGGGATTTCCAACAAACTACAGACATTCATGAACAACTACCTACGCTAGCTCGATACTGAAGCAATTATTAAATCAAGCTGACGTTTTTAAAAAGCCCAAATCAAATTTTTATTGCTTACCAACAAATTCTGTTGGACAATGGCAATGAAATTGCATATTCGGTTGATCTTCACAAGTTCCACCATTTAAACAGGGTTGATTGACACAGTCATCAACATCTTCTGTACAATTTTGTCCAGTCCATCCCTTTAAACATACACAATAGTAATCTGATTGAATATTTAATCTATTGTTTGAGATTTTTCCCTTCCAACCATGAATATTTACACAATGTGCTCTGTTCTGACATGGATTGGGTTCACAAGGATCTAACAAAGTGGATAACAAGGATTTGAGAAATTATCCATGCAGTAAGAAAATTTGTATAATCATATTATTAAGTGAATTTAAAAGAAACATAAAACAAGAAATTATTTCGGTGAAAATATGTCGAACAAAATGAAGATGCTATACTACTGTATCGTTCATCCTAACAAAGTTAGGACCCTGAAAACCAAAAAAACATCTCTGAGTTTCTGGTATTATCCATTTAAATTCATGTCCATAAGAACTTATGAAAGTTGTTCAAAAATATATTTGTAATAATAACCAAATTATACAAGCTGGGCAGAACATTTAAAAATTTCTTGTCCTAAGTAAATCCATCAGAAATTCTGTTTCATTTTATCTAGTTGATTGTAGTCACTTGGGAAATAAGAACAATGCCTTCACAATTATGCGAGTGACTTTAAAGGCCACCCTAGTAACAGTTGAAATAACCATTTAAATTTCTATACTTTATGAAAATCTGCCTTTTCAGCCGAAATGGAGAGACCTAATTGGTTATTTCGATCGTTGCTAGGGTGCTGTTTTGAGTCACTCCAATTACCCACCTTACGCCACCTGATCTTTTAAAAGGTATTCAGACTTATCTTTTACATTATGGGAATCCGAGCACAAATCCTTATATTTCTTTTATTTCTCCTCTGGCTAGAGAATACTTAATAAACCAGCTTATCATTGAAATTTTTCCTACCCCTTTCTTATTCTTCACACCTTTCATATACTTACTGCATCTGAGGTAGCATACATCACGGGCTGACATAAGTCTGAGAACCATTAAAAACCTCGAAGCATTGGATGGCCATTTCTTCCCAGTATGGGGCTCCTCAGTAGTACGCACTCACAGCTAAGCTATGAATCAAATTCAGGACCTACAAGTTTCCTGAAGAACGCATCAACCATTCATCTACTGCGTTGGAGTCCGAAAATTCACAGTTTCTTACTTCTGTGAATTCGCAGTATAGCACTACTACCACCTAATGTTTTCAGTTGGTATTAGCTTCATTTCCTACTGGCTGACCTCACTAGACATGGTTTTTTATTAGAACTTCAGGATATCCACGTGGAATTGTGTCACTAATAACTACTAAACAATAATGTGTTTTGAGTTTAATGAGGATTTTATGTTTAGTTAGACTTTGTTTATCCACTCACTTTATTTTCCAGTGTTACGTAACTTTTGTTTTTCTAGGCTTCTGACCCACTTAGATTATTGGACAGTCTACACTTTCATGCTGCGTTCCTGGTTCTTATCATTATCACTTATATTACAACTACTACAGTCAACGGTGTCAAGGTTATCATTTTTATTATTTGTATTATATTATTTGTCATATTAACTAACACATCTCCAAAGTCAAATGCAATTCTATGCTTAAAGACGACATCCAATTTGCCATCTTTTAGTTTACTGGTTGGCAGAATGAAATTAGGGATAAACAAAATATTTTCTGGGATCGAAACATCGATTATTCAAGTTTACGTATAGAAAAAACCGTGATTTTAGACTACTTCAATGCAGTACAGATATTTTCAGCTTTCCTTCCAACCCTCAGTAGACGTCACATTTTGAGTTTAGTCTTGGTTCTGAGTAATCAAATTGTGTAAGTTTTGGATTTATATCAGTAACTCATATTCAGTTTTGTAATTCCAGGCTGTATATGGTTGGATAGAATGAATGGACTAATTTAAGTGCAAAAGAATGTATGTTAATTTTTTTAGACTTTTGTCTAAGGGAAGAAAAGGAATAAATTCTGGATTACCACTTATGTCTTTATTTTTATTCAACAGACTTCCATTGAATTATGCACATAGTTATGACAATTTGTTACCATTTATTAACCATCCATGAATTTGCCGCCACGGCTGACCCTTACTATGTGACTATTTCAGTCATTCTTAACAATTGATCGATATTCCGTTCTTTTTTAGTAAATCGAATTTGAAAGCAGTTGGCAAGGTTATCACCGAAATAAAGTGAATCCATTTTATTCATAAAGAGGAATTCGTGTATAAAAGGGTTTTTAGTCTTATTAAGAATTATACATCTGAAGCGAATATATTCAATGAAGATAAATGTATCTGTGGACGGAATTGTCTGACAAAACAATGGTTTGGCAGATTATTATTATTTTTTTCCCTTTGGATTCCTAGTGAAACACAGGGCTTCAGTAGAATGCCTCCATTGTACTCTGTTCTGTGCAGTCGTTTGAACCTAGCTCCACCACTGCCCGCAAGCTTTCATTTCTTCCTCACATGATCTCCATCTCACCCTCGCCACGGACGCCCAACTCCTCTTTTCCCCTTTGGATTCCACTGGTGCTTGATGTCCCCAGTCGGCCTTCTCAGTGTGTTTAATCTATCTCCACCTTCTTCTGTATGGTTTGGTAGATACGTAGGTATAACTGAAGTTTATTTGAAAACCTGGATTGTAGTGAAATTTAAACCAGCAGTCTCTGAGTTACGAGTCTAGTGCTGAAACAGCTGAGCCATGAGGACATCACTATTTAGAAAAAGTGGAAAACTCAACGGATCAAATATATCTCATCTATAAGCCTTTAGTCAACACAATAAGCTACATTGATACATTAACAAATGAGCTCAATTTCAAGTCCAGACGACTCACAATTGAAAAGAATCTCAAATATCACATCAGAGATTGATGTAGGCAAAGATATGTATCCCAAAGGTGAACAGTTAGCCAATGAGCTTGTACACGTTCATCTTCATTCATTCAACTGATAACTAAGCTACCATCTACTTCGCTCTATCTTCTAATTTATTCATCTTAAATCAGAAATGTCTTAGTGTCAGCTTAACACTAAAGCATTTATTTCGCATCACTTCATTAATCTGGGAATCTACGATAAGACGATAATTACTGGTTAAGACTTAAATCAAGAATGAAAGAATTACACTTTAATGCACTCACGTCATTCGAAACAACAAAGTAAAAAGTTTAGTATTAAAAAGTGCTGACGCTTATTACTTCCTGTTTTGAACTGGTATCCTTGAAATGAAGTAAAATAACCTCTTTCTGTAGATAATCACGTAGTACTTAAAGATATGAATTTAATTTTAGATATAGATAGAAAACTAGTATCTGAAAATAAGTGTATATAACGGAAAAATTCTATTTGCAGGACTTATGTCTACCACTTAAGAATATCATGAAGTACAGTTTAAAGACTCCAGTCCAGATCACAGAATATTAAAGAAAAATTGTTCGGATCAACATTCAACATTCCCTATATCATTCGATTGTTATAGACACAGTATTACGATAATTATAGTGCTTAATGATCAGTCAAACAGAGAATAAAACTTTCACAAATTGGATACATGATTTTCTATGTTATAGTTATTTATCCCTTGGGCTCGTAGTGGAACATAGGGATTCAGTAGCACGCCTCCATTCCACTCTGTTCTCTGTAATCTTTTGAACCTTGATCCACGACTGAATTCCCAATCATTAGGACGAAAATATGTACCTATTTTCTTGCTCAAGTGTAAAACAAAAATAATTGTTTTAAATTCATCACATATAAACTATCTTTTAGTATTGATGGAAAGTGTTCAACAGTGGACTCCAGTATGCGTATTTCGTCCTATTTGGAATCGTCAGCTCCATGTACCTGCCGGCACCCAGTGAGTGATGTTATTCCCACCGAGATTCGAACTCGGGACCGATTGCTTCAAACGCCAGAGCGTTGTCTACTACACCACCGAGCCTTGATAACCAGTTTTGGTATGGTGGTTATAGTTTTAGTATAATTAGTTGTATCATACCGTCGTTGATTGGACCGAAATAATCGCCTACTGTATGGATGTCTCAATATCACCTGTGTTTCAATCATAGTAATGATGGATTGTGACTAGCAGTGAAATCCAGGGTACATATTTCGTTCTATCTGGGACTCGTTAACTGGATATAATACAAGCAATTGTACTTGAACTCTTTTAACCTCTAAGCAAATATATAACAGAGCCAATAGCTGACACGGAAATGAATCTTGCATAACGACAACATTCTAATCACTGGTCATTGAACTGTCATTCGATATGTTTTCCGCCAAAACCAACTAATCTAATTGCTCAACATATTTTAGTCTCCTATGAGAATGGAAGATTTGAATTTGTTACCGTTTCTTCCCATCCAATTGTCTAGTCTTAGTCTCTCTTTTTGATCCCAAGAAACAGATAGTTAGCAAAAGAATCAGCTTATAGATGAACAATAAGACGGAGTTGATCAACCTTGCATAAAATCATTTACATACAACCATGTAGCTAACAAGTAAATAAGTCATAATGACAGCGGTCTTTTTATTCTACACCAACGTGTATTCATAGTCCACAGCATTTGTAAGAATATATATATATATATATATATGCATGTATGCATGTATGCACGCAACAATTTCGATATATGGAATGATGAAAAGTAGTACTATCTGTCTGGCTATACACCGTAATACTATACGAAAAACAAGAAATTAGTTAAGCCATGAAGATCTATAGTGTGAGAATATTTTCATCACCGGTTTAGTTTTTTTATTTTTTATTTTAAAGGATCATCAAAAATGTACCGTTTTATTTTATGTTGTTATGATTAGAGAAAAGTTTTCTGATCTTATATGATAATAGATAATTTTGTCATTGATTAATTATGCTTAGCAAATCAAAAACATGTATGTATTTGATAAAGATAACGAGTTCTTGTTGAAACATGAGTTTTGAAAAGTAAGAGACAGGAAGAGAAAATAAATCGTCTTACTCATTTAGGCTTAAAATGAATTTGATGCCATCTATGATTCAATTTATGTTCATAAATCTAACTAAGTACTGGATATGAAATAGTGATACATATTGAAAATCAATCATTTGTTGTATATTACCATATTATCCTTAGTATAGTGATCAACTCAGAATCAGTAGTAATATGCTATACAAACCTATCAAATTGCTTTGACTGAAATTTTAGTTAGTC